AATATCAGACTTTAGTATTTTTGATAGGTACGGAAATAGTCAAATACTAAAAAATATTAGGATCATGATTATATTTTGTTTACTAAGAATTTGATATGCCACACAAGAAAACACTTTTGCAAGACGCTCTGATGGGGTCGATTAGCTCTCTTATATTCCTTAACCGGTATCTCTTCGATCTTTCCCTCTCTCACTAAGAAAAGTGAGCGAATAATATTTTTTAGTCCAACGTTTTTTCCTTCTCCCTCTAATGTGTAGGACAATTTTTCCATAATGGTAACAAAATGCAAGAAACATGTGGGTCCATTATAAAAAGTTAAATTAATATTCAACATACATATAGACAGAGGACGACAGCTGGTGTATTAGGCAGCTATGAGTCTTTCCTTTTGCCCTACTTAAGCATTTTTTCACTAAACACTCGTTTTTTTGTGTATTAAAAACTAGACACACTCTCATTTTTAGGAGTATTTTATCTATTTGAAACTAATGACAGGTTTAAAAATTACGCTAGTTAGGTTAATTGTTTCGTATCGGTTTCAGCTATTTGGTCGAGTGAAATGTTAAGATCTAACCATAATTTATAAGTGGTACTGTAGTGATTAAGTGATGGATTCGTCAAAGTGTGAAGCCGTGGGCTTATTGTATTAAAAATGCAAAAAAAAACGGCCTCATTTCTAGAGAAAAACAAAAACAAAATTTGTTGCGAATATTCTTTGTTTTTTTTTCTTTCTTAAAATTGTATCACAAAATTAAACAAACATGTTTTGAAGGAAAACCTTACATAACTCTTTGATTTAATTAAAGAAATTTGTAAATGAAAAATAGGAAAGGAGGATAGTAAGATTTTGGACAAGATGCAGATTATATAGACAACATAAAGAAAACATAAATAAACAAAATCATATAAGGAAGAAAAAAATAGAATGTGTGACAAAGAGATATGAACGTCAACGGATTGGTAGAATCAACGGAGACTTTCATTCTCCGATATATTCCAAAAAGGTGTAAATTATTTATTTAGACAATATGGAACCTCACGTTCTGTTGGATCCATTTAATGCGTGCAGTGATAAGTTATTTATTTTTATAAATAAAATAAAATAAAACGAGTAAATAAATAAAAGCAGCATTAATTATTTAATTAGCCTTGTCATATTGGATCTCACTCACCGACGTACGTTAGTGTCCATGCATTATATTATCACACGTTTATAGAATCTAGATCCATCTAGTGAGCACTTAATCCGGACGGATTAGTTATGCTTTTCTCTTAGTAGTTCCTTAATTCTTAATTCACATACTTATCTCTGAAAATTAATCTATACAACATCGAGTGATTATGTGATCTAGCTGGGTTAACGGATGTAGTTTTTTTTTTGGGTGTGTAAATTGCAATCTAATTTTTTTTAGCAATTCCACAACTTAAAGCACTAGCTAATTGATTGAAGCTACTTTCCCCTTAATTATCTCGCCATTCCACTCCACAACAGTATTAGTCATGATATGTTTTTTCGGTGAAATTGCAATCAGAAAAAAACGGATGGTATCCGGTTTATGCATCACATTTCTATTTCCAATAGTTATTATAAAATTGAATGCTAATACTGAAAGTTATTATAGTTTTCGTTAAATCCCAATCTACTGACAATAGTCAAAACCATTAAATTAAAATGATATGCACGTAGCAAAAAGCATATGGGAAAAGCTATAAACTTTTAAAGACATACATGCAATATGATGGACCTACACAAATTATATCTCCAAATTTAGCAACTAATGAGTCGAAGACACGTGGGCATTCATTTGGTAGGAAAATAATCGACTTCGTGTTATTAAACAACGCCATTTTCGACGAAAATAACCTTCTCTGAAAAAATCCAGGTGTACAAATTTCGAAAATTATTAGTCTATGCTTCGGCTTAAAATGATCTTAATCATAAATAATATAATAACAAATGTAATATACATGCAAAATAATTTTACTATGTATCCAAATACTGTAGGTCACAATGAAAATTGATATGGCTAGGTTTGGAATATTAGGAATTAATGAACTCGATTTTCTACCAACTGCATTAGTACTTATAAATTAAATTTAGTGTATTAAAATCCAATTTCAACATTATAAATCGACATCGTTCAGAAAAAGGGAACATAAATGTAGATAGGGTTTATGTTATAAATTAAAGTACTTTCATGCTGATTGTTAGCATCTTCATTAACTCACAGAAAAACGTCTAAAAACTGCAAGCATACTTTAAATTATATTCCCTCCGTTTCAAATTAGTTGTCGTTTTGGAAAATGTATCTGCAATTATTTGGATGTATCTGCAATGCAAAACATGTCTAGATATGTCCAAATATTTACAGATACATTTTGCCAAAACGACAACTAATTTGAAACGGAGGGAGTATATAAAAAAAATGAACGACATGAAATCTCATTTATTTGAATTTGGAGATATATATATATATTTTTATAATTTACTACTCCTTCTTATCAGAATAATTATTAATTAATGTTCTAGATAGCCAAAAAATTGTTTTTTATTTTAAGTGATGTTTTAACTTTTCAAGAACTTATTTTTTAATAATTTTTTATGGTCATTTATATTCTGCAGTTTTATTTTCTTAATGGTTAAATTGTTTTAAATTACATTAGAAATTACTATAATTTACTAACAAAAATTCTTAATTGTGCATGAAAAAATTTGATACTTATCATTAGTTGTGATACAGAAGGAATATTATTGTTATTTCATGCATTTATGATCTATCGAGATGGTCAAGAAAGAAAAGATTATGTTATACTGATGGTCATGTGAGGAGAGAGAATAGCTGATTTTTCTTAGAAGACAATTCAAAGAAAAATACTACTACTATAAAAAAGTTTATTAAATTGAGAAGGAATATTTGGGAGAATGAAAAGGGAATTAGAAGCAAATCTTTAAGTTCTTTAGGGTTTACTTGATTTTATTTACTCAGGGAAACAGACAAAATCTACTCTCTGGCTGGAAATTTTCCTCGCTATATGTTAATTCTTATAGACACATGCATGGTTTATGTACACACATACTGACCGCCTTGTATTGTACACAAGAATGTGTATGTGTAGAGTGTATCATGCATGTCTGTATGCACTTGATGAAGAGAAAAGATAATATACCTTTAATAAGATAATATCCTTTTCTTTCTACCTTCGGAAGGCAAAACACAAAGGTATATTCCAAACAAAACAAAAGTGGGGATGAATAACACAAATTCTTACATGAAGAATTATCGAATTTTGATAAAATAGTATAACGTTTTAAATATCTGACAGAGTTAACTCGACACATATAAGATCAATTTAACAAATCAAAGATATGGAGTAAAAAACATAGTGCTAAAATTATTCATAATCTATAAATCTGCTAGCTTTAACAAACAAACAAATCTATAATCAGCTAGATAAAAAAGAAAGTTTACGTGCTTAAAGCGACATATCACTTTGACTTGGCTCTAACTAGACTTCACAATTCGGTCTAGCCGGTTGATTTTAGTCTACATCACTACGAACTAAATGTCTACACGAGCTATTCATAAACTAAAGAACGTACTGATATTTAATGTATATTTATCTCTTTAGGTATAGCTGAACAATCTACGGTCCGAAACTTGAATTTATTTGATTCCAAAAACGTATAAGAAATTAAATAAATAAGTGAATAGAGAGTGAAGTGGGAAGCGAAGAGAGTGGGGGAGAAAATAAAAAAGGAGTCAGAGAGGAGAGTCTCTTTCTCTCTCTCAACATATGTATCCCGTCGTCTCCGGGGTACCAAAATCAAAGCACCCAATTTTTATATTTTTCTTTATACATATATACTTTTATTTTATATGTTTTGTGTTGGTTTGTTTTTTTCTTCTTGTTGTTTTTTATTTATTTTTAACTTTGGCTTTTGCTTTGACTATAGATTAGATAGGACAGAAGAGAGCAACCCTTTATTCTCTCTCCTCTTGTACTCTTCTCCAGCATTTTAAAATAATATTCTTCATGATAATCTGTGAGCATAATATATAGTAATTTTAAAATATTTACCATTTTTAATTGTTAAGGTATACAAGTCACTCTATTTCAAATGATTATGAAGATGCAACTGGTTTGACGCAGATCGTGAATCAGTCAGGAAGTGCATCAGGACGTATGGACGGACTTGTAGCGGAGCTAAGTGGAGCTTAACGGAGCTAAAGGAATGTTGCTGAGCTGGATGCGAGCTTGTAGCGGATAAGGACGAATCCAGAAGAGGCGGTCGCTGAGCTGGATGAGGAGAGTTGGAGATATCAACACAAAAGGAATATTTCCTATTCTTAGAGAAAAATAAGGAAAGGAAATATTCCCTTGAGGATTTGGAGCAATCATCAAGACCGAAACCTTGTAGGGTTTCTAGGCACGCCTATTGTGGATAGATAGGGTGCTCTGGCTGCTTGTAGGCGGCTATCAAGACAAAAGGAATATTTTCTATTCTTAGAGAAAAATAAGGAAAGGAAATATTCCCTTGGAGATTTGGAGTAATCACCAAGACACAAACCTTGTAGGGTTTGGCGGTTTGTCTATTGAGTATAAATAGAGGACCTTGGCTGCTTGTAAGCGGCTATCACAAACTTGAGAGCTTTAGCATATTTGGGTTTAGATTTCTTGTAAGAAAGCTAGGACAATGGGGGCTAGGGTTTGAGAGGTTCAAAGATCGTGGATAGATCTGAGAACGTGAGAGTTACTAGAACAGCAACCAGATCGTGGATAGATTGTGATTGTTGAGTTCGTTTAAGCATATACTTGTAAGTTATCTTAAAGAAGTTTCTAGTAATATATTTCTTTGTAGAGAAAACCCCGTCCCAGTTTGTGATCTACTACTGCATCAGTAGCCCTTGGTTTTTCAATTGGTATCAGAGCAGTCACCTTGTGTGTATTGCTATAGCAGGTGAGATCTTGCGGAATAGAGGGCTATCACCCGGACTTCATGGGAAGGTCAAAAGTGATACCTGATGCAGGAAACTATGGGTATGAAGAAATCAGTAACTTCATAGCCCTTGCCGGAATTTCTGATTTTGTGGAAGAAAGAAAAGCATCTGAATCAGATACCGAAGACTCGTCCAGTGATGAAGAATCTGAGATTGATATCTACGAAAGCTTTAAAGAAGTTCGTGATGCTTTGGTTGAAACCGGGAAAGAGAATCTCGAATTGAAAAAGGAGAATGCTCGTCTTGAAGAAAAGGTTGGAGAACTTCAGAAGGCACTTCAAGCGGAAAAAGATCTCAACATGGATAATCTCAATATCATGTTGGAAAAGATGGAAGCGGTTAAACGAGCAGATGACATCACCAAAGAGTACTTTTTGGAGAAGGAGAACTCCAGGAGTCTACAAGCTGAGTTAGATCAACATCGAAAGCAACTGAAGATGTTGACTGGAACTAAGGAACTCGACAAGATCCTGAGTCTTGGTCGTGTTGGGAAGTCAAATCTTGGTCTGGGATACTCAACAGGAAGTGGATCAACCGGCAAGACAGTCACTTTCGTGTCTGGAGGAATAGCTCAAGATGTTGTTCAAGCAGAGACTAGATCATCCGCACAGAAACCTGATCCCATCCTAAGGAGTGAAAATCGAGGAAAGACCACCATGGGATTAGGATATGAGGCTAAGAAAGTCAGTAATGCTAGAGCATCACATCGCCACAGAGGACATCAAGGGAAACAGTGCTATTTTTGTGGAGTTGTGGGTCATATCAAGGCGTTCTGCAACAAGTTTTGTGCTAGAGTTGATCACGCCTGGAGACAAGGACGCTACTACTGGAATCATGGACTGAACCAAGTCTTCATCAGGAAGACTGATCTTTACCAGAATCCTGCTCGACGTACAGCACCAGGTGGTACAAGACAGCGATTCTGCTCCAATATGGCACTATTTGAAGAAAGCAATGAGGTGGACAACACAGGAACGTGGTACTTCGACAGCGGTTGTTCCAGACATATGACTGGCATGAAAGAAAATCTGCAGGATGTGAAGCAGTTAAAAGGAGGAAAGGTGACATTTGGATGTGGAACCAAAGGAACTATTCAAGGCAAAGGACGAACATCTGAGGAGCACCACAGCTTATGAATGTCTATCTTGTCCAAGGTCTAAAGTCAAATTTGATCAGTGTCAGCCAACTTGCGATGAAGGTTTAACGGTCTGGTTCAACAAGCTAGATGTAAAGCCATTGATGCTGACGGAAAGCAGTTCTACGAGGAGTTCGTTCAGGCAACAACTGCTACATGTGGGATCAATCTGCAAAATGCCTAAGTGTGCGAGATGATGTTGAACTGTGGCATAACGATTGGGTCACATGAATATTCGACATCTTACCACTCTGGTGAATAAGGAGATTGTTCGTGGTGTTCCAAAACTGAAAGGGATGTGAGAAAATCGTGTGTGGTCCATGCAATCAAGGGAAACAATCAAGGTCCAGCACAAGAAGGTGCCAGATGTACAATCCAAAGACTGGAAGGTGCCAGATGTACAATCCAAGACTGTTTTGGACTAGTACACATGGATGATGGGACCAATGCAAGTGGAGAGCATTGGAGGAAAGCGCTATGTCTTTGTTCTAGTGGATGATTACTCGCGATACACTTGGGTCGCTTCATTCGTGACAAATCTGACACCATGGCGAGTTTCAAGATTTGGGCTCTTCAAGTCATCACTGAGAAAGGAAGCCTCAAGCGCATACGCAGTGATCATGGGGGAGAATTTCAGAATGAGGTCATGACTAAGTTCTGCAATGAACAAGGCATAGCTCACCAATTTTCAGGCACCTAGAACACCACAGATGAATGGAGTAGTGGAGCGAAAGAACAGAACACTTCAAGGAAATGGCGAGAGCAATGATCCATGGAGGAAACATTCCTGTGAAGTTTTGGGCTGAAGCAATCAACACCGCATGCTACATCATCAACCGTGTCTACATGAGAAAGGCTTTACTCAAAACTCCTTATGAGTTGTGGAAAGGAAAGACACCTAACTTAAGTTACTTTCGTGTCTTTGGATGCAGGTGTTATATTCTGAAATGACAAGGATCAACTTGGAAAGTTCGACTCAAGGAGTGATGAAGGCATATTTCTGGGTTATTCAGGCAATAGTTCAGCTACAGAGTCTTCAATCTTCGGTCCAAGATGATTATGGAGTCGGTCAATGTGTTTTGATGATCGATCAATTGCGGCCATGGGAGACTCTCCAATGTATTATGATCCAGAAGTCAGGCGAAGCAGAAGACAGAAAGCAGAGAAGAGAAGTTGAAGAAGAAAGAATGAAGAGGATTCAATGACAAGCCTGAGTGACTTGAACAGTCCTGACACGTGGTTGCCGTACACCCAGTGACACAAGTTCACAGAAATCATTCATCGAACGTGATCTGATTGGAGACATCACTGAGCCACGAAAGGACGAGAGGAATCAAGATGAACTATACAAGCAGATGGTCAGCATGGCAATTATCCAATTTGAATGCTTTGTCTCCATAGAGCCACGAACACCTGAAGCACTGGAAGATGCAGATTGGATCATCTCCATGGAAGAGGAACTAGAGGAGTTCGTGAGAAACGATGTATGGGAACTGTGCCACTACCTGATGGTGTGAATGTGGTCGGTACAAAGTGGATCTTCAAGAACAAGACAGATGATGCTGGAAGCATTGTACGAAACAAGTCAAGACTTGTTGCGCAAGGTTACTCACAAGTTGAAGGAGTCGACTTTGATGAAACCTTTGCCCCTGTAGCACGTCTTGAGTCTATCAGACTGTTTCTAGGGATGGCATGCATATTGAACTTCAAGGTATCAGATGGATGTGAAGAGTGCTTTCTTGAATGATTCTACAAGAGGAAGTATATGTAGCCAACCGAAGGGGTTTGAAGATCCTACGCATCCTGATATGTGTATAAGCTCAAGCTCTCTACGGACTGAAACAGGCTCCAAGAGCTTGGTATGAGCGATGACGAAGTTTCTGATTGACACAGGCTACGTCAGAGGAACTGTGGACAAAACTTGTTCACACTTGAGAAGAAGAATGAGATGATGATGGTGCAGATCTATGTAGATGATATCATCTTTGGAGGAACTTCAGAGAAGCTGGTGGAAAACTTTGTGAAGAGTATGACTAAGGAGTTCAAGATGAGCATGGTGGGAGAATTGAAGTACTTTCTTGGACTTCAAGTGAATCAGACTGAGAAAGGAATCTTTATTTCTCAAAGCACCTATGCCAAGAATCTACTGGTGAAGTTTGGTCTTGACAAATGCAAGGAGGCAAGAACACCAATGAGCACCACGACAAAGATTGGAAAGGATGAACAAGGAGAAGATGTTGATGTGAAGCTCTACAGAGGAATGATTGGAAGCTTGCTTTACCTTACAGCAAGTCGGCCTGACTTAAGCTTCAGCGTTGGTGTGTGTGCTCGTATCAGGCCAAACCAAAACAGTCCCATCTTCAAGCGGTGAAGAAGATCTTGAGGTATGTCAAGGGAACTGTCAATCTGGGGATCTTCTACTCCAAAGGATCCAACAGAAATCTTGCTGGATATTGTGACGCCGATTGGGCAGGATGTGCAGATGATCGGAAAAGTACAAGTGGAGGTTGTTTCTTCCTTGGGAACAATCTTATTGCTTGGCTTAGCAAGAAGCAGAATTCTGTGTCACTATCTACTGCAGAGGCTGAGTACATTGCATTGGGAAGCTGCTGCACACAGCTTATATGGATGAGACAGATGTCAGCCGATTATGGGATGGAGTCTGGACCCTTCTTGGTCTACTGTGACAACAAAAGCGCCATTGACATATCAAAGAATCCGGTGCAGCACTCAAGGACTAAGCACATTGACATAAGACACCACTTTGTTCGTGAATTGGTGGAAGAAAAACAGGTAGTACTTGAACATGTTGTCACAGATTTACAGCTCGCTGATTTATTCACAAAACCATTGGACTTTAACCGTTTTGTCACCTTAAGAAATTCCATTGGAATTTGCACAAGTGGTTTTGAATGATGCAGGGGCTGATACAGGCACTGGCTCGGGGTGTATAACAAGTTCAGATTTTGTTTGGAGTCAAAGGTGCCAATGAGGATCAGCTACTTTGTCATGCCGTCATGTCACCTCAACATAAGAAAAGTGAAAAGTAAGTGATTCTAAAAGCATGTTCAAGGTCAAAAAGCAGCTGAGCCAACTCCAAATGAATGCAATATGATGGAGATGGCTTGCTGCTTCAAGAACCAAAAAGTGATTCAATGAGCATAACAGGAAATGTGATGAACTGACAACAATAGCTCACAAGGCTAAGTTGGTTCATGTGATTTCTCGAAAGACAATGTTTCACAAGAACAAAGTCTGACGACAGAACTAAGAGCTTAATAGGAAAGGGGATGGACTTGACAACAACAGCTCACAAGGCTGAGTTGGTCCATGAGCTTTCTCGAAGGGTAATGTTTCACAAGAACAACATCCAACGACAGAGAATGATCACATGTTCTGCCTTGAACAAAATAAAGAGTTTCACTTTGCACATCATTGGAATTAGAGGTGGTGATATGATCTGGGTATGACAAAGTGAAAGCTGCAGGTTGGAATCAGGATGGCCAAGCGCTATGAATCTGTTGAGAATTTGTAATACATCCTGATGCAAGTGCCGACTCAGTCAATGTCTCCTTCACTAAAATGAAAGGTATTTAATTTGAGATAAACTGAGTAAAAATGTTTTTAAGCTGAAAAGATGTGACACATGGGAGGTATTGCTTGTTTGGATTCTATCTTGAATCGAATCTTATGTGGTTGTCACAATTTTGGGTCCTTGTGTGTACTGCTGATATTGGTGCTAAGTGTTGCAGGAAATCAAACAGGGATTCTGGGTCTCTAAACCAAATTAATCCGGCTGATTTATGTTGATTCCGATTAAATGGTGTTTTGAAACAGCCGTCAGATCTACAAGCCAGCAATCTCCAAGCACTGCCGTCGCCTGACGAAGCGACTGAAGTAGCGACCACTACATCTCTGGTAGTGACCCCGATGGTGTTTCTGAACCAGCAGAGCCGGATGTACAACAGAACGACGCATCAATGTCTCTGTCAGATCCATAACCAGCCGTTTCACCCTCTCGACGAAGCTCGCGAAACAGAGTCTCTTGATGAACTTCAACTAGGTCAACCGTTTCGAACTACAACGAAGTAGTCTTCTCAAATCGAGAAGCAGCCATCGATTGATCCGCCATCTGATACACAGAGCTCAGAGCTCAGAGTGTTGAAGAACAGAGTGATGCAGATTTTCTCTCGTGCTAAGGAACAAGAGAGTTCTTCAGGAAACAGGTCCCTTCGCAGTTTCACTGACATAGTTCAGGGTCTGATCATCGTCAATCTGCAAGGTAAGTTGTCCTTCTGCACAATCTATTTCAATCTGTTTATCCATCTTGTGTTTTTAACTTGTGTGTGCTCACAAGCAGGGGGAGAATATGATGTATCAGAGAACGAAAACTAGGATCTAAGCTAGAATTGTGGGGGAGCAAGACTTTTGATCTTGTTTGCATTGTTTTGAGTAGTTTTCGATCTAGAATTCTGGGGGAGTTGAGAGTTGAAAGTTCTTTGATCTTTTGGATTTAACTTTGTTCTGAATCATGTTTAATATTTCTATGACTAATGTTGAAGTATTCAGATCATCCCAGTATTCTGGTCATCTCTGGTATATGCACTGTGGTTTTGAGTTTTACAGGTGCTTGAGAGACACAAAGCTAAAAAGGGGGAGATTGAAGATGCAACTGGTTTGACGCAGATCGTGAATCAGTCAGGAAGTGCATCAGGACGTATGGACGGACTTGTAGCGGAGCTAAGTGGAGCTTAACGGAGCTAAAGGAATGTTGCTGAGCTGGATGCGAGCTTGTAGCGGATAAGGACGAATCCAGAAGAGGCGGTCGCTGAGCTGGATGAGGAGAGTTGGAGATATCAACACAAAAGGAATATTTCCTATTCTTAGAGAAAAATAAGGAAAGGAAATATTCCCTTGAGGATTTGGAGCAATCATCAAGACCGAAACCTTGTAGGGTTTCTAGGCACGCCTATTGTGGATAGATAGGGTGCTCTGGCTGCTTGTAGGCGGCTATCAAGACAAAAGGAATATTTTCTATTCTTAGAGAAAAATAAGGAAAGGAAATATTCCCTTGGAGATTTGGAGTAATCACCAAGACACAAACCTTGTAGGGTTTGGCGGTTTGTCTATTGAGTATAAATAGAGGACCTTGGCTGCTTGTAAGCGGCTATCACAAACTTGAGAGCTTTAGCATATTTGGGTTTAGATTTCTTGTAAGAAAGCTAGGACAATGGGGGCTAGGGTTTGAGAGGTTCAAAGATCGTGGATAGATCTGAGAACGTGAGAGTTACTAGAACAGCAACCAGATCGTGGATAGATTGTGATTGTTGAGTTCGTTTAAGCATATACTTGTAAGTTATCTTAAAGAAGTTTCTAGTAATATATTTCTTTGTAGAGAAAACCCCGTCCCAGTTTGTGATCTACTACTGCATCAGTAGCCCTTGGTTTTTCAATTTCAAGTATAGGAAGAGTTGAAAGTGTTTCTTTTTCCACTTTTGGGTTTGTTCGTTGCAGTTCAGAGTCTGCAACATTTTATTATGGGTTTTCTTACTTTCGTCTCACCGATTACTTTTGTCAGGTCACTTAAGAAACAATTTGATTTTCTTCTTAACAATTCAGAGTCTGGAATTATCATCCACCTTCTTCAAAATGAAATTTTCTTATGCCTCTCAATTTATTGTATACATTGCGTGAGTAAATCGCATGATTCTTTATTTAGCTCAATAATTTTTTTTTCCGATTACGTCATGTTAAGTTGCCAGGTAGTTTTGTATGGTTAATGATAATCTGGTGGTGGTTGAAACAAGTATAACTCAATAGCTTTTTCTTCTTAGTGTTGTCTTATTTTCCATTTCTAGTTCCAAGTCAAATGGAAAATATGACAACACTCGAACTAGAAGATAAAACAAACCAAGAAAATAGTGTAGGAAGAGTGTTATAAATCGTAAAAAGATATGGTCCAGTATAATTCAAGATCATTGAATAAATAATTCTGAATTACTTGATATTTGATAGATTGGTTAGTTTAAAAATAGTATGTTAATTTGTTATTATTTTTCATCTCACAAAATGCACAAAGGAGCTCGTACAACAAATAAGTTTTAATAAGAACTATCTCATATGAATGTATCTATGTAAGAATAATTTTTTTTTCAGAATAAGAAACTAAATTATTGGGATTAAAATACAATAGTAATTTACCAATAATCTGTCGTGTTCTCTTCACTGTTGGTCTCATTCTAGAAAATAACTGGACAACATCATTCACAAATACAAGAGTTTGAACAGTTTTGCAGAGTAAGTACAAGGAAAGAAAAATATGTATTTTTCTTTGTTAAAGGAAACCAAAAAATTGGTTTTCCACATGATGATACTAATACATTTCTAATTTAATTGATGTTTGGTTACTTAGGGGGTGTTATTGGATGTTGTATTTGAAATGAACTGAAATAGGTTTTATAATCCATTAGATTTTAAAAATTTGTGTTATTTTAAGAATCCATTTCAGTTTATTCTAAAATCTCTGCAATATCTCATGGATTCTATTTTTATAATTTACTCATACAAATCTATTGGAAGTCATTTCAAATGACTCAATAAACAAATAATTTTAAAAATCATTTAGTTTGGAATAACAGTGGATTTGAAATCTGAATTTGAAATCTTGATTGAATAACACTGGATTTGAAACTCTATTAATGAAAGATTATAAATCATATATCGAATAACACTGGATTTTAAAACCGGATTTGAAATCTTGATTGAATAACAGTGGATTGTAAATCTATTTCAGTTCATTTCAAATACCACATCCAATAACACCCCCTTAGTCTTTTAAAAATTAAAAACAACTTCGCACAACATTTTATGGATTAACATATGATTATTAACATATATCGTAAGCAATGGGTACGTATTGGATCTTGGATCGATATGATCTATTCAGGCCCGGGCCTGAGATATTTGTGGTCCCGTTCCAAATAAAAATTTGGGGCCTTATAAAAGAAAAAAAAAATCCAAATTTACATAAAAAAAGATACAATGTCATGAAATCTAACAAAAGTTTATAAATTCTGGTTCTGGAACATAAAGCTTCTTACATTTTACTCTGCAAAATCATCCATCAAATTTTTGCAGTCAAGTTTTTTTAACTATTTTCAATTTTTTGTTTTGTTTATAGTTAATTTTTAGAGGGTTTACACAACTGTTTTTAGGATTTTTCTGCAAGCAAAACAAATTTTTTGGGCTTTGAAAATTTAAGTAATCCTGAGGCCCCATTCCAAAGAATTGTTGGAATGGGCTTAGGTCCGGACCTGGATCTATTTAATCCTGCTCCATTTAGAACCATCTCGATTAGATATCAAATCCGTAGTTCTGAGTCTAAACAAGACTTGGTTTTTAGAAAACAAAAAAAAGACTTGGTTTTTATTTATTTTTTAAATATGTAGCATCCGAATTTCATGCGTATATTCTTAACGATTCATACACATGAATTTCAGATGATACATATTTAAAAAATAGTTTATACGAAGTAGCAACCTGATTAGTTGGTAGACGTAGCGACCACCTAACCCGCAGTTGACTAGTACGTAACTCTACCCTCGATTTTGTTTAGTTATTTATTTATTTATCTATTTATTAGTCAGTTGTATATAATTATAACGATTGTTACCTAACACTTTCTTGTTTTGATTCATTGTGCATGTAGAAGTACATCATTACGCGTATATTTTATGATAGAAGACATTTTCGATTGACCCATCTTTCTTCTGAGCTACGATAATTTGGTTTCCAATGAATTTCTTCTGTTGACTAGTACGTAACTCTACCCTCGATTTTGTTTAGTTATTTATTTATTTATCAGTCAGTTGTATATAATCATATATATAAAAAGAGGTCAACTCTCTCCATATTTTGGACAAGTGGACACACTAACAATTGACATGTGTCATAACTTTTCATTTTCCTTTCAATTAATTACGTTAAATCTAAATTAACAATTTTTTTATTTTCCTTTCTTTTTAATTTACAACTTTTCATTTTCTTTTCAATTAACAATTTTAAACATTTCAATTTATTGTAATAAAAACCACTATATTACTTTAAAACTATTATCTTTTAGTTTCCATTTTTAATCACTATTAAACCATTATATTAATTCTTCTAATATACGAAAAAATGGATCAAATAAAGAGCAATGACGGGGAAATATAGTCCATTCCATGTAGCATTGAGTAAACAAAGAAACTGATGTCATAGAGACATGTGATATAATGCACAAATATATAATTGAAAGCAGTCGCTAATTATACAAGTTGTAATTCAAATGCCGGTGTTATTTGGGTAAAATTTTATAATATTAATCACAAACTATAGTTGTTTTCCAATATTTTTTTTAAACTATAACAATAGAAAACCCCGCGCGTACGCGCGGGTATTTGTCTAGTTATAATGATTGTTGCCTAACACTTTCTTGTTTTGATTTATCGTGCATGTAGAAATACATCATTACGCGTATATTTTATGATAGAAGACATTTTCGATCGACCCATCTTTCTTCTGAGCTACGATAATTTGGTTTCCAATGAATTTGAATTTGTTCCAGAAAAACAAAAAAAAAAAACTTTTTCATTTTTTTTGTTCAATAAATTAAAGAAAAGACTTTTGTTCATCACTCATCAGAATAATTACAATGTAAAAGCAGAGCTGAAAAAAAAGTACCAAGCTCCTTCAGTTTGACTTTGTACAATGTAACTATTCAGAACATTAAAAGAATTAAAAGAGAAAAAATGAAAAGAATAATTATAAGCTAGCCCATACAGGCCTTTTCTGTTTTTTTTAGTCAAAGTAGAAACCTTCATTTGATAAAATAAAATGTCTCCGTCGCCGGGACTCGAACCCGGGTCTCTCAGGTGAGAGCCGAGTATCCTAACCAGCTAGACTACAACGGATTTGTGATAATGCAGACCATTAAATTATAAAACTTAAATATGCTTTAAATATCAAGGAATTGAAATGAAAAAATTGAGAACGAAAAGAAGGTTTTTCTCAACCTACAACTATAAAGTCCTACGTGGAAAGATACCTATTGGTTCATCATCGTCGTATTTCGCCTTCAGTAAATACCAAAATATATAGAAAAAATCGTTTCTCCAAAATCCTTTGAAGAAAAAAAAAATCGTTTCTACTTGAAAAAAGAAACTAATATAAAACTAGAATAAAAATATGCTTCGGCTAGAAGTTGGGAGTTGAACGTGTGAATGAACACGTCAAAAACTCAATCATAAATCATAGCCTCTATATAATATAATGTCGCGAGCATATTCCTAATAACTAATTTCTAGGCCAAACACGTGTGTGTATCACCACAAAGCAACTATCACGTCGTCTTCTACATTTCCAACCTAACCGGCATCTTCAAGAAACGCCAACAACAACATTTTTAAGGATTATTAATGATCGCATTCTTGTGTAATTACTAAATCATTTTTTTTTCCACTGCTGCCTTTGGAAATCTGGATTAGGAGAAGGTTCAAGAATGGTGTGTTTCTGTTTCTTGGTTGATCAGAAGAAGGAGGTGAAAGGAAGCAAACCGGCAGCAGGAATGTGTTCTCGGTGCGGCCGCTGTGCAAGAGTCGCCGACATGAAGACTTCGACGAGGTTCTGTCTAATCCCTATTTATTGCAGATATTGGAGAGCCATCGTCTGCAGCTTTTGCGGCTCCGTTCTTAAATCCTACCGTTGAGATTTTTACTATACATATTTGTTGTAGCTCTCTGTTAAAGTTTTAATTTCGTGTCTATATATATAGTGGCCTGAATTTTTACTACATGCCTTTTCCGTTGTCTACTTTTTAAAATCATAAAATAGTATTATTTTTACAATCATATTGGACTTCTCCGACATTTGTGAAATATCAGCCGGATAAATCTAGGATTTTTCGTATAATGTGTATTATGTAAACTTTATCTCACTGATTTAGGCTTTGAATCGTTTTAGAGATATAAGCTGTTGACCAAAAACCAAAGTGTCTCGGATTTTACATTTTGTTGGAACAACTATTTTATTACTAACTATTTTACATGAATGCAAAACTAATGTTGATAAATCGGAAGGAAATCTGCCATATCGCAAATTAAGCAGTTATATACAATTTTACTTAACACTATGGTTATAATATCTGCATATACTTAAATTTTAAAGAAATTTTATAATGTTATCAATCAACATACAAATACAGAGAATCTCTCTATATATATATATATATATATATATTTTTTTTTTGTCAGTATCATTTATTCCTATACCGTTTTAGAAATTGAGATTGATGGAGTAGAATTTACATAATACATATCGTAAAGGAGATCTCGTGCACTTTGTGCGAGCTTATCGACCTTCGTGTTGTTTGTACTTGATATGTGATGTATAGAGAAAGATTTTTTCCTCCAACGTTAAGTTTCCTATGCTTTTCTTATACTTACTTCTCTCAGTTTTCTTCAATTAATAAAAAAAAAAATAAACGGTAAGTTTCCTCCAACCATCAGTAGTGGTATATGACACCAAAACTCATTTATTCCAAAATGTGAGTCTCATGCTTGACTTCAGATAACGACAGCTAAAACTATATTTTTCCAAACTGATTGAGGTATAAACACTTTTTTTGGGCTTTATCTTCCTCTCTTTCCGCCCTAATCCGTTGAAACTTTGCACTCTTTTGTCTGTCACAAATAATGTGCTTTCCATCTTTACGCTATAGCTTTTATTTTTGGATTACCATGTTAGATATACATAGAAATTCATTTATTTATTTAGTTATATAAAGAAAAATAAAGAAAACTTTATTTATTGTTTGATCTTTTCACTTCTGATTATACAACGCCAATTTGAATGTGAATTCATCTATGAAGACCCAATTCATCTAAAATAATTCATAAGTATGGGTGAAAGTGGTAAGATTTTGATCAGCAGTATGCTCTATTGATATCACATCAATCTCTCATGCATTTATTTTCTTTGAATATCGCAATTTTATCTCTTAAACGCTATTGGTGGAAGTAAAGTTGGGTCCATAGTGGAAAAAAAACTTTAAATGGTTTTCCAACGTGCTTGAAGGGGCAAAACGTTAGGACACATAAGTAGTCTTTGTAGAAAAAGAAGAAAAATCAGTCTTCGTATCGTGTCTTGAAGGGCAAATGTAATATTAGTTTTGAGTCTTTTGACATGGTCAATAATCATCAACAATAATATGTTTTGGTAAACGAAGATGTCTATGTCTATATAAATCAACTCCTTTCTTCACTTCTCTTTATACACATCTTCAGCTAATTAATGGCTAATAAACTCTGGTATTTTGTATTGATGACCATCTTTCTATTGCTCAGTGTTTTCAAAATCTGGTGGGAAACTGCTAGTAAACGGCGAGGTGAGTAACAAAGCTAGAGCCACTAAATTTAAATATATCGGTTTATATAAACTGACATTCAATCTCTTAGTTTGATATATTTTTGTTTTGTTTCTGTGTGAATAGTATACACAACAATAGAGTGGGTCGATAGACTTTTTGAATCAGGAACCGCGCTTCTTCATATCGGATTTGATGAAGATCAAGAGTACTTTAGATCATATTTTCTGATATAGACTACCAAGTTCACGTGTATGAAACTATTAATTCATGGTTTTATCAATGGTTAGCTATATATAATAAAAATAGAACGACGTATTTATAATCAAAACGCAGAAACGGCAGAAATGTCGGCAGAGTCAAGTTGGGTTAACAAGCTAACGAATGCGAAGCCCAACCAAGCTGTGGAGCCAAGCCCTTGTTTTACTTTGGCGTACATTAAACACATTTTTCTGTATCCTCCTATCTTACCAGTTCATATTTAAATATGCTTTAGTGAGATACTAAAATGCATGAAAGTATTTGAGCATGCATACATAATTTTTGTTCCCGCTAGTATCCGACGACTATCCGTATAAACAAATAGTATCTGAGTTAAATAAATATATGCTCGATTATAGAGACTAATGCGTCCGCTAAACACTCGTGCTTTCCTTTTATAGCATGTTACCCATTTGTCGGACAATATATGTTTTATATTCCTTTGTGAGTATTTGTGAAAGGTTCATTGATCATTTTGAATTTAATAGTTTTTCCAATCATTTTTTTAGTTTGAATAAATTATAGAAAAGTAGAATTTATGTATGCTTTTATTCGTAATTCTAAATCTTCAGTTTCATATATATATATATATATATATATATATATATATATATATATTATGAAGTTTTAGATGTTTGCATACAAATTAAGAAATAATTTGTTTTCAATAAATTAACATATAATATAATCCAAAATAATCTAATAAATAAGAAAAAAATCTACAGAATTCAAACAACTAAAACCAAACAGAAATACAATTAACTTTGCGTTAGTTTAAAATATCATATAAATTAAAATAAAAAATATTTAAGCATTTATATATTACTCTATCCGTTCTCTTATAAATAGGGTTTCTTTGAAAAATACCCTATTTATGTTTAAATATTTGAAAAATACCCTAACTTTTTTTCTGTTTTGAAAAATATATTTTTTGTATGTAAAAAACTGTTTAACTTTATTTTAGCAAAACATTACTAAATAATTATTAATTAAAAACAAAATTCGAAAATATTATGATGAATGATATTATTTTATTTTTGTTCAGTTCTTTAAAATTTATAATTTGAAAATTGATAAATGTAAAGAAAATTTTATATAAATAACTTTAATATCACACATAAACCATAATATAAAGCCACAAAAATAAGAATACAAATGCTTTAGCAGATAATTATGATTAAAAATGTTTATTAGTTTAAAATGAAAAACATCAAAATCAAATTATGATCTTTTGTTTTTTCTTATTTTTTTAAATTAAATTTCGTTTTAATTAAATTATTCATAAATTTCAAATTTGAATAATTGTTCTAATTTGAAATTTCAAACTTGGAAATTTTGTGTTTTTTTTTTTTTTTTTTTTTTTCAATCCGCAACCGCAAACGCTTGTGGAAAGGAGCTTTTGATTTCCAGAGATATAGAGCGGTACAGAGTGGTATAAAGTGGTTCAAAGCGGTTGTCGTGATTGTTATAAAACGCCAAGAACCGCTACGAACCGCAAACGCAGTGTTGTACTAGCGGGAGAAGCAATCATCACCTAATAATAATAATAAAACGTTTGCGGTTTCATAATTTAATTTACGCTGTTTATCGACGTGGGGACACATTTGTGATTTAACTTTTATTTGGTCGTCTGTTTAATCAAAAGTATTTATACATCAATTGATTTTGTTTTTCTTCTTGAAAGATACGTATTGTGAATGTATAAGGGATTTAGAACATAATGATGACTCTTGAGAATTATATTATTCTCTATTAAGTAACCGAAAACATAAGCAAGAGAATCGTGAATAACGACCTAAGAAACATGAGACAGGTCACAATCACCATAAAAGTTTTCCGAGCAAAACTCGAGTAGAAGCACATGAGACGGTAAGCTCAATCGATTAGGAAAGCATATTGTGTCAATGGTATATATGGCTCGGAGTTTTGAGTCTAAAGTACTATCTGTGAGAAGGTATAATTTATGTTTTATACATCCGCCACAAATATAATTAAGATTGGTATCTTACGCGCATAGAGAAACTATGGACCAAATTAATATCCGTAGTTTCATGGTGAAACCCCGGGTGTTGGATGAGATATTGTTTTATTCAAATCATACTTCCTCCGTTTCATAATAAGTGTCGTTTTGACTCTTCACTTACCCAATGTATCTAAATATTAATGGATGTATTAAGATTCAAAACACATCCAAATACATCATTAAATAGTCCAAATTCATTTTGTCAAAGACACTTATTATGAAACGGAGGGAGTATTTGTTTAGTGATATGTCTTTTGTGTGTGTGTGTGAAGGATGCGTTACGCTGCTCAACATCAGTAAAATTGGTATATATAAATATTAAAGCTGGTGCTACAAAATTTCGTTTGTTAGCCATTGGAAACATTAAAAGTAAACCAGAAATATGGGATAATCGACTCTTTATGTGGTTGTATTTCATATAATTTCACGTGGCCCAAGCTGTTTCTGTTCATCAATCAAACTTAGTTTGTAGACAAGAGTGAACCCACACACACTCACATACATACACACGGTCGATCTTCTTTTCTATTCTCGTGTCCCTACATCTCTAAGCTCCATCATTGTACTTATTGTATTTTATTGGTATGATGAGCTAAAGATGGTTAACAACGCAACAGTGCGGGCCTAGCTAAGTTTTAACTCATTGGAAACTAGTTTACTACGCTCGAAGTCATATTGGTTCGATACTAACTTTGGAGATGGGTATATTACATGAAGAAAAATAGCTAGCTAGCTTAATATAACAAACTTTGGTTATCGATTATCGTCTATTCGTCTTTATAGTCGAAACTGAGGCCCTGATTGGCATTTAAGCTTTCAAAGCTACAGAGACTTTAGATTTTTTTAAAGTCTTGAAGGTTTATTTTTTTGCCAATCAGACTTTAACTCAGCCTTAAAAGTTCCATTTCCTTCTATTTGTTCATTTTTACCTACGTGTTTTGTAAAGCCTATAATTTGGGACTTGCAAAATTTTAAAAGTGACAGCTACTAAAGACAAAAAAAAAACTGTAATTAAAGTCTTGAAAGCCGAAGTCCTAAACAATCAGGACCTGAGATATATTTTCTTTGAAATATTATTAACATGGAAGCTAATAAGATTTATAGTAATTGTTCTAAATAAGTATAAAATTAAATTGATCTGATATGTTTTAAATGAAGAATCGATGATTCAAATTGTAAGTTAATTAGAGTATCTTAAAAAACAAAGAAAAACACATCAATAAATAATTTCTAGATTCAGTTTTACTTAGTGACCAATTTTTATAATCCAAAAACCTATGTTGCATGGAAACTAAAAACGAAAATGGAAACCCGAAAGGTAAACTTAAAGACATCATTTATATTATTATTGTTATTAGCTCCATCAACTCTAATTTATCTAGAAAATTATCTCCATACTCAGTAATGGTAAGACTAATATCATATAATAAATCAAATAAATCTTTAATTTACCTAACAAAATTAAATTAACCATTTTATCTTATAATTTGTTTCGTAATTATATACTTATTATGTTTTCAAATACAAGAAATAAGTTTCCGTCAAAATTCCAAAATGGAAATGCAAGTCGTGAAAAAAACGAGTTTCCAACAACTTTTCATTTCAGAATGAGGAGTTTCCATACAACCTAGTCCAAAACTAAACTCGTAGCATATTTGGCAACGAATTATTCAATTATTTGGTGTATACTCTCCATGTGAGAGTACTGCGGTGACCAATGAAAATCGGTTAATCACTGCTAGTATCTTACAATTAAGCTAAATGCCGTTAAGTACCCTTTAAAAAGGGATGCAAAGAAAGATAACGAACATATACCAAAATAGTAGGATCTGTTTCCATATTCCTATGCTCTTATTAGAAATGTAAGCAAAATAAACTAAGTTTATTCTATATCTACTGAAAATATATTCTAAACAACTAGGTAACATCAACTTTGATACTATATAGTTGTGATTTACTAGTTAGAACAAGAATCTTTGCAAAAAGGAAGACACATGGGATGTTAGGAGAAGGAGATTCGGATTCCAATGATCCAATGGTCAAAGAAAAACCACAAAAAAAATTCACAACCGTAGGATCTGTTCCCTTAACCACCTTGTAATGCCGGTCTTTATTAAATTTCAAGAAAAATTAGAAAACAGCACCAAACTTATGTCTCTCATGTGACCGACCACCGCATCCTTAGTTGACCTGTCTTTGTCCCCACTTTGTCTCCCCACACAAACTGAAGACTTTAGATATCAAACGACTCCATGTGTCGATATCTGATTGGTTTTCATCGGTTTTATCGTGTGGACCAACGAAGCAGCATATAAAAAGCACGACGCGGTAGTACGCATTACTACAATAAGAGAATTGTGTGAGAAGAAAGTTCTCATATTTCATAATTCTATCGAGTAATTAAAAAAAAACGAAGTAAAGAAATATGGAGAAAGATGGACTCGAGCTTGAGATAACCGAGCTGAGATTGGGTCTTCCGGGGAGAGATGTGGCGGAGAAGATGATGAAGAAGAGAGGTTTCACGGAGATGATCATGACGTCTTCTGGTAGTAATAGTGATCAATGTGAAAGTGGCGTTGTTTCATCGGGTGGTGACGTGGAGAAAGTTAACGATTCTCCGGCGGCGAAAAGTCAGGTTGTTGGGTGGCCGCCCGTTTGCTCTTACAGGAGGAAAAACAGCTGTAAGGAAACTTCGACGACAAAAGTGGGACTAGGGTATGTAAAAGTGAGCATGGATGGTGTGCCTTACTTAAGGAAGATGGATCTTGGTTCGAGCCAAGGTTATGATGATTTAGCCTTGGCTCTCGATAAGCTCTTCGGTTTCCGTGGCATCGGTAAATAAGTTCTCTCTCTCTTTTTTTTTTTTTTTTTTTTTTTTTTTTTTTTAAAGTAAAGTGGTTAGATCATGTGAAAGAGAAGATTAATTGATTGTACGAGAGTTCCCGTTAAGAACTAAAACATTTTATACGTAATGCAAGAAATAATTAAGAAGGACCACACGTGGGAATGACACCATTATAGCTAGGTTAGTTAAAAATGTTGTGTTAGCGATGTTATAGCCAATTAATAAGAGTGTTAACGTACAATGTTAATATACTTTTTTTAAATCAGATTTAGGAGGTTTAAGATTAATTTGAAAGCTCTGATTGTGAGCTTTAGCTTTTGACGATCTGACTGGTTTATCTCTAAACCCGTTTCATATTCACTTTTTTTTGTAGAAAAGCTAGAGATTTACTATTGATTTACATTTCAATTTGTTTTGTTAATTAGGAAGTATAATCTTAAATAAGAGATTCTACACCAGGAAAACGGACTATTTTATTTATCGCAATATTAACAACTAGATTTAATATTTACATATGTATATGTGCAGGTGTCGCCTTGAAAGATGGAGATAACTGCGAATACGTTACCATATACGAAGACAAAGATGGAGACTGGATGCTCGCGGGAGATGTACCTTGGGGGTATGTTCATATCTTTCGACTTCTTATATCTCATTATAATGAACTTAAGTCACAATCTAAATTTAAATGGGTTTTATTTTGATTTGCAGGATGTTCATAGAGTCATGCAAGAGGTTGAGGATTATGAAAAGATCGGATGCGACCGGGTTTGGGCTGCAGCCTAGAGGAGACGAGTGATGATGACTTGAACAAGATGCAAGGAACTGGTTAATTAATTTGACCTTTAAACTTGATCAAGATCCTTTAGAACATTTTTCCTATTCATGTTATATATAAAATATATGCTATAGTTTCCGAAACAAAGTTTCAAGTTATGGTTTGCATAATTATCTTCAGAAAGACAGTTATATACATACACTACTTGTTTGATGAGTGTTGAGTTAAGACATTGATTTGTTTAAAATTTCATTGATATTTGGGATCCAGACATATGTGCGAAACATATGTTACGTGTCCATATTATTTCATTTTTCTTAATATTTGAATATTTTTGTATAATTATAAAATATAGAGAATAGTTAAAAAAGTTTCAGAAATATATATGGATGAATCTTTATATTATTATTTTAGAAGTACATGCAAAATTTATGACAAAAAAACTAATCTAATTATGAAGAGAAAGTGTTTGGCAACAGATTTAAAGAGGGTCAATTTAGTACATTGTAATGTTTGGATACAAGAATAAGAGAAAAAACTATTTGGATAGAAGAATAAATGAAAAAATTGTTTGGATACAAGAATAATAACTTAAAACAAACCGATGGTTTAGAAAACTTTCGTTTTCCAGCTCTTAAGAATCTGCAAAAAAGAAAAATTAACATAATCTAATGATAATTCCAAATTAATAGAATATGCTTTTTGGATTTCGGGTTTTCGGGTTTAGATATATTAAAAAAGTTTGAGTATTTTAAAATTTTGATTAGGGTATTTGGGTCGGGTTCCGGGTGAAAAAGTTTTCAGATTTTTTTGTTCAGTTCAGGGTTTTCGGGATTTTTTTTTATTTCGGATTTTCGGGTTTAGACATATTTAAAAACTTTAGGTTTTTAAAATTTTTTATTATGGTTTTTTGGTCGGGTTCGGATTTAGGGTTTAAATTTTCTACACAAAACCATAACATTACACCGCACAAACGTGCGGGTACTCTACTCAAACAGATTCGTCGACAACTAAAAAATCTTGGTGAAACATTCGTAATATTTTATACTTCTAGTTGGATATTTTAAACAATAAATGTAAATATAAGTTTATACTAGTTATAAATCTAAAGAAAACATATGTGTTACTTTTGAATTTTTGAATTCAATATTCCGATTCCTTCAAGTTATGTTTGTACAACTTAGTATAAGGTTTCTAGCCTTCTTGCATTCTAAGTAACTGTACAACTCAATAATGACAAAATGTTCTATAGTTAACTCCAAAATATGCTTATTTCAAAATCATAACTTCAGATTATAAGTTTAGATTGCTTAATTAAGTTTTAAGTGTTAAGCTTATTCTCCTTAATTTCACTGAATCTTCAATTATATAAAACACCGACAAGTTCGGTATGTCGACCTAGTTTTCAATATTGTCTTCTGTAGAACGAATACTCGGAATGTATTACAACAAAGATACTTTTATTGATAAAATGAAACAATGATAATTGATTATGAAAACATAAAATTTGTTACGACGTCTGTGACCTACCCATGTGCATTTGCAAACCAGAAACAGCAAAGATTCAACCATCCCCTCCCATTTCTACTTTTGCTTGGCCCAAATTAACGATGCCATACACTCTATACTTTTGGCTTCATTGAGGTGCAAGGCTTTTCACTTGATTCAGTGTAAGGATTAAAAAGATATTTGAAGTTAGATATAGTGGACTTTCTTAACATTTTTACCCCATGCACCCCCCTACAGTGGACATTTTTTTTAAAGTAGAAAATTTCAGAGACGGCTTTAGCTATCTTTGGGGCATTTCAGAATTTGGAAGGGTATTGATGGAAATGAGAAATTTGAGAAACTAGATTTATTATTACTTAAAGTATTCTATTATGATAACGAGACTAAAATAACAGGAACATAAAGGTTAGAACTAAAAGTTTACAAGTTAGATATCCAAACTCTTACTAAATCGCAAAAATTGGAGAAAATTCGGAAAAATTCAAGAAATTTCTGAAAATTTAAGAACAAAAATATAATTTCAATTAAGAATTTTAGATGGGTAATTCGGGTACTCAATTTCCATTTTGTACCCTTTGGAGACCCATTCCAAATGCCCAGAGCTATCTTTGGGTTTTATTTTCTCGGTGTATTCGTACAAACCAGTCGAAGAAGATCAAAGGCTAACAATAATTTTTGCTGTAAACTTACAATTATATCCTCAACTTGTTAAGTACAATAGTACATGCATGTGGATGTAAATTGTAAGGTCTAGTCAATTATTTGTAGGACCGCATTCAAATGTCATCTACCCTCTTTTCTTTCAATTTTCCACGATCCAAACGTTTTCATGTATTTCTTTTGTCGTGGCCTGAGACGTCGAGATCACTTAGAAATTTATTCCCACTTTGGTAATCAAAGAAAAACCAAGTATGGACTATTTTAGGTATTATTACAAGCTCAAGAGTCGATTAACAAGTACAAATGTAACAAAACACCAACTCAGGAGCAAATTAAACAAGCGTAATAGCTAGTGATCACACGATACATACATAGCTTTATTTATCCGCATGAGGAATCTTCTTACAGGGAACAGTACGTTTTGAGAGCAGATAAGTCTCTCTTCTTGGTGTCTATGTAGGTGAACTTAAAGTAAGCCTCAAAATCAAAGGGCTTATAGAGACGAGGATTTTCATCATCGACAATCTCCTCAGGTGCATTTATGATCAATCCTTCTTTGGGAAGCAAGAAAAGTCCAGCCGCGTGACGATCTTTCTTTCCGGTTATCACCACACGGTGAAGCGGAGGATACACCCCACCATTCAATAGTACCTGCAAAAACCATATATACTTGATGTTAATCATATTAAAGATTATCCAATATAGGAAATAGGATGAAATTTAGACTCATGGAATCTTGTTTTTTTTACGTGAAGAGAAGCTCCAGCAATAACGAGGAACGAATAGTCTTGCGATGGCCTAGCTTTGATCCACTCTTCACCATCTTTGGTTTTGATCTCCAAGCCATCTACTGCGTCGTTTTGGCAAAGTATAGTGAGGAAATGTCTATCGATATGAGGGTCAAGGCCTAACTTCTCCTCTGTGTTATCGTCAAGTCCTCTATACTTAAAGAAGCGAAAGTGGTTCTTCGCTGAGTTAAGGTGCTCCTCGATGTATTTATGGAGCCCGAAACTCTCCATGATCATCGTCCTCACCTTCACGTCTAGTTCTATTAACTTCTCCGCAACTGACTGAACATTCTTGCTGGAATACAAAATTTGTCACAAATCTTTAGTATTTTATAACCAGTACCTCTGTTCTTACGATTTTGTTTTCTTAAATGGTTTAATCTAACACCATGATACACGGGGAAAAAAGTTTATGCAGATCTTCATGTGAAAAAAATGTAAATTCTGATAAAAGTATTTTTTGAGTGACATGAACCTGAAAGTGATGTTGCCTTGAGGCCAAAGCTTGTGAGTCAAATCATCCACAACCTCAGGATTATCTGCACCATCAAAGCCCATACCTTCGTATAAAGGTATAGTCGGAACCTGACCGACGTATCCTTTGTAAAGTTTATCTGACTTTGTACTCACTTTGGTCTCCAATGGTAAATCAAAAGCCTCCTTTGAGGCCTCGAACACAGCCTTCCTTAGCTCCACTGAAGCTCCATCGAACAAAACTTCGAAACATCCGTACTCTTCTAGGGCTTTTCGGACTCGGGCTCTCACCGAGTGCCACTCAGGTGTTTCTGGGTCTCGACTCGAGAACTCAATGATCGGAACCGAAAGGGGAAACTGGGTTTTTGAACTTATCGTCATTGTTTCTATAATTCTATTGGAAGGAACTAATCAGAGTTTAGTTTATGTCTATGTTCTGTGAATATTTTGAAGACTCCCTTCGTTATTATATAGGATCGGAGAAATTCCAAGCCTTTAAATGAATTTGGTCTTAACTATTAAACTATTCTTGTCTTAATATTTTTTTTTTTTTTTTTTTTTTTTTAATTTACTCCATTTTCATAAAATTTTAATGATATAAGGACATACTTGGAAATATCTGTTATTGCATAGTATCAAAACGTCAATTTTCATGGAGACATAAAAATCTATAATATCAGTTTACTTATTCTTATTATCTACTTGTGATTTGTCTATATTTTACTGATAATTTATTTTTTAAAGACCGGCTTCCTTATTATATAAGAGGAGAAAGTTCAAGCCTTCAAAACTGAGTTTGGTCTTAACTCTTAAACTAAAAAATGACTAAGATTTTTAAAATAGATAAAAGTCATGTTTTGTTGGTTTTAAGAAAAAAATTCCCTGCAAGAACAAAATTAATTTATCTTGGCCGTGAGAATTTTTAGAAATGACTATGATATTAGAAATAAATAAAAAATCATATTATGTTGATTCTAAGAAAAAAAATCATATCAAGAACAAAATTAATTATCTTAACTGTGAGATTTTGAAGGAGAACTTTAAGAGTCATGAAAATGTATTTATACTTTTATAACTTTAAACTAAAATCAAACCTCTATATATTTTTTAGCACTCTCAGGGTCTAACTGGTTGAATCGTTACAGTAGTGGTTATAGAAGTTTGTAAAAGCGGACAATTGTAGTTATTAGCGTTATTAAGCCGTTTGTATGGCTGGTATAACATTTGAAAACTTAGCGTTAGTACAACAACAGGTCGTTATTCAGTCAAATCGGGATATAACACGCTCCAGGAATTCTCAGATGAGAGGTCTCTTTCAGTCTTCGGACCAGATGTTCGGAGATTGCAAGCACAATCCTGGAAAGTTAAATGTACTACTCCCTCCGTTTCAGAATGTAAGATGTTTTAGCTTTTTTTCTTGTTTCATAATATAAGATGTTTTAGATTTGTTTAAGGTACTTTTTTCAATTAATACTAACAAATTGCAAATTTCAAGAACTATTTATTAAAAGTAATTCCATTCTTAAATTTTTATTGGTTAATTCTTATTAAAAGTGGTTTATGTGAGAGAGAAAATGCATTAATTATTGAACAATAAATTTTTCTTAATTTATGTGAAATTTCTAAAACATCATACATTCCGAAACAGAGGGAGTACAAAACTCCAACATTTTCTTTGGCAAATTATCATTGGATGCTTATCGGTGGGAGCGAGGCTATGCAGCCGGAGAATGCGGGTCGACCAGTTGTGTGTGCGTTGTGGCATGGGCAATGAGACCATATATCATATGCTCTTTGAGTGCCCCCCAGCTCTTCAGGCTTGGGCTCTCTCACCCATCCCAACGTCTCCCCAGATTTTCCTTACGGACGCACTTTATTCGAATATGGCGCATTTATTCTGAAATCTTCCGGACAATGAGGATATGACGATGTACCCATTGTTACTCTGGTACATTTGGAAAGCCCGAAATTATAAAGTTTTCTCAAATGATGATCATAATCCGATGGACGTAATGGAATCAGCGATAGCGGAAGCACGGACATGGGCAGCGGCCCAAACGGTAGTTGAACGGGTAAACTTGGATTGCTCTACTCAACTCAGGCACGTCCCACTAGGAGAATGCTGCCAGATTGATGGAGCATGGAAAGCATTAGAATGTCGGGCAGGACTTGGGTGGTACAATTTCGATCCCGAATCGGGATCCACTTTGGTGGGGTCCAGTAACCTACGGCGGGGATTGTCTCCTTTACAGACAGAATTGGAGGCATTGGTTTGGGCTATGCAAAGCATGTTAGTCCAGAATAAACGGCGGATGAATTTCCAAATAGACTGCGCTCCGTTGGTGACGATGGTGTCCAAACCTGCGGAGTGGCAAGCGTTTGCGATCTTGCTAGACGAAGTAGAGAAATGCAGAAGGATGTTCCAGGCGTTCTCCCTATCACACATTCCCAGGACAAAGAACACGAAGGCAGACAAGCTAGCACGAATTGCTCGAGATCAGCCTCATGATGTGTACTATATAAACTCAATTCCCCCGGTTTTGCTTCCCGAACCGGTCTAGGAATTTAGGCTGTTGACAAAAAAAAAAAAAAAAAAAAAAAACTTAGCGTTAGTCCGATATTTATGACTGCATGTGTGCAATACCTTTTAAACAATAAATTAACAATATAGACATATTTCTAACTATAAAAACAGCTGATTCAGTATAACGTGATAATGAAAATCATATGTATAATAATCCCATTTATTTTTATATTGTCCTTAATCTGGATGAAAGTAATTATTTCAATGTAATTTTTGTATGTGTAGATTAATGAACATCTCAATGAGATTAATCTGGTTTAACGATTATATATAGAAAAGTTACCCCTAAATGAACTAGAAAAACTTCAATGTGACCATTATAATAGGTAGTTTGCGAATATTTTTCTAAAAGTATCAAATCTATTTGTATATTTTACCATTATAATAATATTAAAGTCTTATTTTGAAAACCATTTTATATGTGTTTTGATTTTTAATTATCCATCTGCAAGCAAAAAACAGTGTTTGGATTTGGAACGGTACAAAACGGTAAAAAATAATTTTCATACAAACACTAACAATTTCTACCACCTACAAATACTGTATTTGCGGGAGAACCAATCAATACCTTAACCTTAAGTTTCAGCACTTCTGGATTGTATCTGTTTATGCAAGCTAAAACTATTAGAAACCATTTTCCAAATCATTTATTGATAGTTAGAGAGAGACGTATTGGGACATAACAACCACTAATATGCCTTGTATACAATACTATAAATGTCGACAAAAAGAAAAAATACTATAAATTTTAAAACGTGCGACATTTATGAGTATGTTCATTATTTAACTTTTAGCCATTTAGGAGATGTTATTGGATTGGTTATTTAGCCATTTAATGTATTTGATTGTATTTTTAAAACAGAGTTAAATTTAGGGTTATTCAATTGTGTATTTGAAAAAAATAGATTAAAATCCATTAAAACCCACTGTTATCGGAACAAATATTTGTTTGATGAATTAAGTAATTCTTTTCAATAGTTAAAGAGCAAAGTACTCCATGTGAATCGAATCTTAAGTACTCCGTCTGAATCGCATCTTTAGTTGTGGATGGTTGTACAGTCTTAAGAATTTAATCGGTTGGGACGGATTTGGGTTGTGTGGAAGAAGAACCAAACAAGGATCACTCCTTTCTTTAAGAGTGGGCCACTAATAACTTTTGCGGTGAAGCTAGAAGGAAATTGCATGCGTCATTCAACTAATGATGGTCAAATCCCACTTTACTACACGTATGTTACAATACGTAGAGCATGAGCTATATAAAGCCATGCATATCTCCTCCTTGGAAATACATTAAGCACATGATCATTCACACAAAAGAAAACAATCTCTCACTTCTCTTCTTTTGTTTTTGTTTTTTCTTATGAGAGTACATTACATAAAACATGGTTCGAAAGCTTATGTATTGAGTGATGCAATCATAAGAAGTAGGCAGTTTTATTCTGGGATTCGGAACGCCATGCAACCGTCACACTACAGAGCGTTTACAAAATTAAGGAAAGAGATCATATCTCAACTCTGCAAATCCGGTTTTATTTCCTTAATTCTTGTTTCTTTTGAATCATTTTGATATTATATTATATTAATTTGTTCATATTTACACTTTATAATTATCAGTCGCCTATTGTAGAAATTGCGTTCCTACAATCTTAATTCTGTAAATTTTCGTTTTTGCTTATTGCACTAACGAAAACTGACTTTTGTGAAGTGTTTTTGTTATGGAAACAGGAACTGGAAATTCTGGAGTAATTGGATTAATTTTTCAATTGTCTGCATAATTATTCTAATTATTTTGTGCAGATTATCAGAATTTTGTGGAATTAATTTTCTGTTTTTTCAGAAATTATGCTGATTATTTTGCAGGATATCAGAGGAAGAATATATGGTTAATTCTTCTTATTTTATTTTATTTATTTTCTGATTTTTGTTTTACAGGAATATTAGAGCAGTTATTTCTTTGTGACTAACAAAAGTTCTTTATTGCAATTTTTTTGTATTCGTTGACAAATGCATTTGATTATTCAGATTGATGTTTATTTTCTTTGTATAGCATTGATCATATGTTTTTGCATTTATCTCTTTCGTTGCAAAGAAGTTTGATTTTGTTATTAAGTCGTTCAAATGTTTTAACTGTTATTGCTGCATTGAATCGTGAGGATTTTGCATACTAATATTCTTGCATTGAATATTGCATAGAACTTTGATTAAAGTTGCAAAAGGAATCGAACCTGAAATTAAATTTCTATTTGTGAATTAATTAAATTGTTAAATTCGGAATTTATTAATTCTGAAATTTTGATTTAATTATTTGTTGCATTTTTCAGAAGTGATTAAATTGCTTAATATATATTTGATATATTTCTAATATTTTTGGTATGATGATTTAGGTTTGGCTTTTATGCAAATTGAATCAAAGAAGAAGGAAAAAGAATTTTACCAAAAATTAGAACATTTACAAAAATGTTTCTAAAGTGAAAAATCAAATGAGTTGATACCCCATGTTGAGAGTGGTCTACCATTTATGATTTTGTCCCATACCATTAGTGGTTGAAGGGTTATTGGTAACAAGTTTAGTGAGTTGACATACCAAATTTATTTTGGTAATGGTCTTCCACTTGTGATTGTACCAAGTTATGATATTTATCATATTGTCATATTAGTGCTTAGTGTTGTAAACACAAGACTAATGTTAGCCAAATTCTGTGGAAAAGAGTTTAAAATTGGTTACAAAAATATTGATCTTTCTAGCCATTATTTAAACTTAAAATGTGAAAATGCAAAGTGCATGATTTTTGAGTTATCTCAAGAAATGTGGGGAAAAACATTGTTTACCACATAAAGTTATTGACAAAATGTCATATAAGTTTTGAAAGGTAAAGTACATTTATACAAATACCTAAAAGTGTGGGGGGTGCATAGCAAAAGTTGCAATGCCACTACCTAAAATGTTAAACAATTGATCTCAAATGGAGTAATCTTAAAGATTATATCTACTTGAATGACAACCTAGGATCCATTAAAGGTGTGTCATGAGATCAAATTGTAAAATCATCAAGAGGAATAGGTTTAGCCTATTACTTAAGAGGAGGTTTGATGGTAACCCTACCTAACTGATTGGAGATCCCATGAAATAGGTTCAAGGGGAAAACTAAGTCAAACTGAATCAACTAGCACTGGGAGACTATGTCTCTACCCAGTTCCTAGGATGATGAACAGTGCTACCTGTATGGTGTAGAGGATAAGCTTTTGCTTTTAATGATTTGGGTCCATAACTTTGAAATATACATGGAGTAATGCAGGATACTCCTTTAAACAAAGTTAATGGCGAATCACCTTGTGAGTGTGAAATGGGGCCGTTTCTAGGAGAATAAATGAAAGGCTATATTCTCCAAGTTCACTCATGATTATCCAGGCAAGTTCACGGCCAAAATGAACACAATAGAGAACCTGATTCTGTGAGAGAATGAAGCTGTGTTATAGCTATTGTCTCGGTTTACATCAAAGCCCGAGAGGTTCAAGACATCATGTTCACCTCTTGGTCGAGTAAATCCGATAGCTTATAACAGTGATTTGGTTCAAGGCTGAAAAATGCTACCAACTCATATACAGTGGATTTTTCGCTTGTACTCTCAAAAGTCGTTTTTGAGTTTTTTTTAGTCTTGTTAGAGAGTCAAGTCTAGAGTTGAGTCGTCCAGTGTCTAGAGTCATTTCTATTCATGTGGGATTGTTGGAACTCATTTTTGATATATCAAAATGAAGTTGGTTTGAATGAGAAATGGAGGTCCAAGTGGGTTGCTTGTATAGCATAAAATGTAACATTTGTGAAATGTCCCACATTGGAAGTTTGAGGTGAAATCCTCTTGTATGTAAAGTGGAGAAAAGAGATATCCGGACTGAACTTGTTTTCGGGCCTCATGATTGGCAGTCGAGCCAATGTCCGTAAATTTATTATTATGGACTAAAAGTTCTGAATTTTACTGTTGAATAAGTCAACACAATTCTCTTCTCATTGATGTTGGTAATGTGGCAATTAAGTATAAAATCAATTCTGATTTTTCTAAATTATAAAACTTAATGCACATTCAACTAATGATGGTCAAATCCCACTTTACTACACGTATGTTACAATACGTAGAGCATGAGCTATATAAAGCCATGCATATCTCCTCCTTGGAAATACATTAAGCACATGATCATTCACACAAAAGAAAACAATCTCTCACTTCTCTTCTTTTGTTTTTGTTTTTTCTTATGAGAGTACATTACATAAAACATGGTTCGAAAGCTTATGTATTGAGTGATGCAATCATAAGAAGTAGGCAGTTTTATCCTGGGATTCGGAACGCCATGCAACCGTCACACTACAGAGCGTTTACAAAATTAAGGAAAGAGATCATATCTCAACTCTGCAAATCCGGTTTTATTTCCTTAATTCTTGTTTCTTTTGAATCATTTTGATATTATATTATATTAATTTGTTCATATTTACACTTTATAATTATCAGTCGCCTATTGTAGAAATTGCGTTCCTACAATCTTAATTCTGTAAATTTTCGTTTTTGCTTATTGCACTAACGAAAACTGACTTTTGTGAAGTGTTTTTGTTATGGAAACAGGAACTGGAAATTCTGGAGTAATTGGATTAATTTTTCAATTGTCTGCATATTTATTCTAATTATTTTGTGCAGATTATCAGAATTTTGTGGAATTAATTTTCTGTTTTTTTCAGAAATTATGCTGATTATTTTGCAGGATATCAGAGGAAGAATATATGGTTAATTCTTCTTATTTTATTTTATTTATTTTCTGATTTTTGTTTTACAGGAATATTAGAGCAGTTATTTCTTTGTGACTAACAAAAGTTCTTTATTGCAATTTTTTTGTATTCGTTGACAAATGCATTTGATTATTCAGATTGATGTTTATTTTCTTTGTATAGCATTGATCATATGTTTTTGCATTTATCTCTTTCGTTGCAAAGAAGTTTGATTTTGTTATTAAGTCGTTCAAATGTTTTAACTGTTATTGCTGCATTGAATCGTGAGGATTTTGCATACTAATATTCTTGCATTGAATATTGCATAGAACTTTGACTAAAGTTGCAAAAGGAATCGAACCTGAAATTAAATTGCTATTTGTGAATTAATTAAATTGTTAAATTCGGAATTTTTTAATTCTGAAATTTTGATTTAATTATTTGTTGCATTTTTCAGAAGTGATTAAATTGCTTAATATATATTTGATATATTTCTAATATTTTTGGTATGATGATTTAGGTTTGGCTTTTATGCAAATTGAATCAAAGAAGAAGGAAAAAGAATTTTACCAAAAATTAGAACATTTACAAAAAATGTTTCTAAAGTGAAAAATCAAATGAGTTGATACCCCATGTTGAGAGTGGTCTACCATTTATGATTTTGTCCCATGTCATTAGTGGTTGAAGGGTTATTGGTAACAAGTTTAGTGAGTTGACATACCAAATTTATTTTGGTAATGGTCTTCCACTTGTGATTGTACCAAGTTATGATATTTATCATATTGTCATATTAGTGCTTAGTGTTGTAAACACAAGACTAATGTTAGCCAAATTCTGTGGAAAAGAGTTTAAAATTGTTTACAAAAGATATTGATCTTTCTAGCCATTATTTAAACTTAAAATGTGAAAATGCAAAGTGCATGATTTTTGAGTTATCTCAAGAAATGTGGGGAAAAACATTGTTTACCACATAAAGTTATTGACAAAATGTCATATAAGTTTTGAAAGGTAAAGTACATTTATACAAATACATAAAAGTGTGGGGGGTGCATAGCAAAAGTTGCAATGCCACTACCTAATAATGTTAAACAATTGATCTCAAATGGAGTAATCTTAAAAGATTATATCTACTTGAATGACAACCTATGATCCATTAAAGGTGTGTCATGAGATCAAATTGTAAAATCATCAAGAGGAATGGGTTTAGCCTATTGCTTAAGAGGAGGTTTGATGGTAACCCTACCTAACTGATTGGAGATCCCATAGGGATCAAGGGGAAAACTAAGTCAAACTGAATCAACTAGCACTGGGAGACATATGTCTCTACCCAGTTCCTAGGATGATGAACAATGCTACCTGTATGGTGTAGAGGATAAGCTTTTGCTTTTAATGATTTGGGTCCACAACTTTGAAATATACATGGAGTAATGCAGGATACTCCTTTAAACAAAGTTAATGGCGAATCACCTTGTGAGTGTGAAATGAGACCGTTTCTAGGAGAATAAATGAAAGGCTATATTCTCCAAGTTCACTCATGATTATCCAGGCAAGTTCACAGCCAAAATGAACACAATAGAGAACCTGATTCTGTGAGAGAATGAAGCTGTGTTGTAGCTATTGTCTGGGTTTACACCAAAGCCCGAGAGGTTCAAGACATCATGTTCACCTCTTGGTCGAGTAAATCAGATAGCTTATAACAGTGATTTGGTTCAAGGCTGAAAAATGCTACAAACTCATATACAATGGATTTTTCGCTTGTACTCTCAAAAGTCGTTTCTGAGTTTTTTTTAGTCTTGTTTAGAGAGTCAAGTCTAGAGTTGAGTCGTCCAGTGTCTAGAGTCATTTCTATTCATGTGGAAGATTGTTGGAACTCATTTTTGATATATCAAAATGAAGTTTGTTTGAATGAGAAATGGAGGTCCAAGTGGGTTGCTTGTATAGCACAAAATGTAACATTTGTGAAATGTTCCATATTGGAAGTTTGAGGTGAAATCCTCTTGTATGTAAAGTGGAGAAAAGAGATATCCGGACTGAACTTGTTTTCGGGCCTCATGATTGGCAGTCGAGCCAATGTCCGTAAGTTTATTATTATAGACTAAAAGTTCTTGTTGAATTTTACTGTTGAATAAGTCAACACAATTCTCTTCTCATTGATGTTGGTAATGTGGCAATTAAGTATAAAATCAATTATGATTTTTCTAAATTATAAAACTTAATGCACATTTAACTAATGATGGTCAAATCCCACTTTACTACACATATGTAACAATACGTAGAGCATGAGCTATATAAAGCCATGCATATCTCCTCCTTGGAAATACATTAAGCACATGATCATTCACACAAAAGAAAACAATCTCTCACTTCTCTTCTTTTGTTTTTGTTTTTTCTTATGAGAGTACATCACATAAAACATGGTTCGAAAGCTTATGTATTGAGTGATGCAATCATAAGAAGTATGCAGTTTTATCCTGGGATTCGGAACGCCATGCAACCGTCACACTATGGGGTGTTTACAGAATTAAGGAAAGAGATCATATTGAAAGTTCATGGGGGTACCGATAGAGACCGTGAATGATACAGAAAGTAGTACGAGCATAAATAGTAGTAAAGACACATAGAGTTTGTTAACGGGGTTCGTTTCCTACATCCCCGGGACCTCGTCCAGAATCCACTAGAACAAGATTGCAATTACAATTGCTATGGTATCCAGCACTACAATGCCTACCATTCTCTCCTAGATGGATACATTCAAACAATGCCCTTAACCCTTTGTTTGGTCTTCCTACTAGAACCCCAAAACCTTATGCTAAGGCATCTTCGAATGTAATGGGTTGAGCACATCCAATGCTCTCCACGTCCTATTTATCCACAATAGGTGGGGTTTCAGAATCAAATTATTCATGATTGAAAATCAAATAGTTCAAACCGCACTCAAAGGTAGGGCATTTCGAAGGAAGAGATCTTTGGAAAGTGGGTTTAGAATAGGTCCCATTCTTTTAACCTTTCCTGACCATCTGTCAGAGAAAAAAGAACGAATGGCTCTTGTAGGATTCAAAAAGAATAGTTAGACTTTTTTCGATATAAAACAATTGCGCAAAAGTAGGATACTAAAAATTCGCGCTATATGAAAAATTCACAATCATATTGACGCTTTGAAACCCTTCAAGATTTCTCCCTTGGTGATCACTCCAAATCTCCAAGAGAATATTTATTTCCTTATTTTTCTCTAGGAAAAGGAAATATTCCTAGTTGCTTGACAGCTTCGAATCTCTTCGTCCAACTTAGCTCTTGACTCTTATAGAATCTTCTAGACTCGCCTCCTCAGCTACAAGCATATGTCTAGCCCATCAGATCGATTCCTTAAGCCCATCTGCTGAACACGGCTCTCTGTACTACTTCTTGACTGATACATGAAGTCCTTCATTCAACTGTATCTTCACCTGTTATGACATGTTCTAAAACTCGGTCAGCACTGCATCAACAATCTCTCCCTTGATGATTGAGTTTTAGAATCATGGCATAACCCTTCACGAGTATGATGATCTTCCAACTCTCCTTTAATTGTACACCATCCTCATGGCATAACCAATCCAGAGCATGATGATCTTCTAGCTCTCCCTTAATTGAACACCATCGATTTTCTTGATTCCTCCAACACTCTCTCCCTCTTTGACCATGGTTGTGAACTCAACAATTATAGCTCCATAATAACTCTCCCCCTGCTTGAGTTCATAACCTGATCAAAGTTAATTGCTGAAGCATCTCCGCTCTTGAGGTTGATGGTCCTTCTTGAAGCGCCATGATGTACTGGGAATTCGCTCTTGGTAACCCTCCATCTTCTCTGCAGGAATCTCCCTTGTTTGCAGCTTTGCAATATGCACAAGAGCCCGCTCTGATACCAATTGAAAGTTCATGGGGGTACCGATAGAGACCGTGAATGATACAGAAAGTAGTACGAGCATAAATAGTAGTAAAGACACATAGAGTTTGTTAACGGGGTTTGTTTCCTACATCCCTGGGACCTCGTCCAGAATCCACTAGAACAAGATTGCAATTACAATTGCTATGGTATCCAGCACTACAATGCCTACCATTCTCTCCTAGATGGATACATTCAAACAATGCCCTTAACCCTTTGTTTGGTCTTCCTACTAGAACCCCAAAACCTTATGCTAAGGCATCTTCGAATGTAATGGGTTGAGCACATCCAATGCTCTCCACGTCCTATTTATCCACAATAGGTACGCTTTGAAACCCTTCAAGATTTCTCCCTTGGTGATCACTCCAAATCTCCAAGAGAATATTTATTTCCTTATTTTTCTCTAGGAAAAGGAAATATTTCTAGTTGCTTGATAGCTTCGAATCTCTTCGTCCAACTTAGCTCTGACTCTTCTAGAATCTTCTAGACTCGCCTCCTCAGCTACAAGCATATGTCCAGCCCATCAGATCGATTCCTTAAGCCCATCTGCTGAACACGGCTCTCTGTACTACTTCTTGACTGATACATGAAGTCCTTCATTCAACTGTATCTTCACCTGTTATGACATGTTCTAAAACTCGGTCAGCACTGCATCAACACATATCTCGACTCTGCAAATCCGGTTTTATTTCCTTAATTCTTGTTTCTTTTGAATCATTTTGATATTATATTATATTAATTTATTCATATTTACACTTTATAATTATCAGTCGCCTATTTTAGAAATTGCGTTCCTACATCTACTACTTGGAGCAGAAGGTGTTCTCGAGAATGTTTGAAAGGAATCAAAGGTTATGGAGAAGAAAGGAAGTCTGGAGAACAAGGGAGTTTAGAAAGACATTTAGAGAGAGAAACTTAGAGAGACGTTTTGTTGGAAATTCTGAGATGAATTTTACAATGGGGTTACACACACATTTATAGGGGAGGAATGAGGGTGCTGACATAAGCCCTTACCTCATTCTTACATCATCTCTCATTAAGGTGCTGACATAAGCACTTACCTCATTCTTACATCATATATATTAAACATACTTAAACATAATTAAACATAACTTAATTACTTATTCCTTAGATATTTTATTGAGTGATCCATTTCGAACTGGATGATGTGCTTGTCGCAGCAGCCATAGTGATCATCTGGACATTCATACTCTTCTTCCGGTTCTTCAAAGTCTTCTTCTGATTTTGTATTGACGTCAATGTTGAATTTTCTTCCTATCTCGTCGATATTTATCTCGTCGTCCGGAAGTTGTGCATCTTGGAAGTATTCCTGTTGTACATGTTGAGACGTCGGTTCTTGTTCTACGGTCTCTGGAAAGTTATGCTTCATCGTTTTCTGTGTTGCTGCCCCTGTCTGTTTACTTTCCATAAAGTATTGAAGGTCTTCGTCAAGGCTCATCTGGTAGTCGAATGGGTAATAGGACCAGCTGTAGTTGAACAGTATTGGGAATGTTTGTCTAGCGTTGTTAAGGCGAAATGCGTGGGCTTGAAAGTCTTCGTATGGTTTGGTGTCATGGAGGTTGAAGTCGGGTCGGATTCCTCTTTGATAGTCTTTATGGTGGATGAGCGTGGGTAACACATGCAGTTTGATTGACTTGGTGTTGACTTGGACAGGACGGTGGAAGAAGTATATGGTGTGAGGGTTGAAAAAAAGGATTAAGGTTGTTTTGGTTTCTTTGACCTTTTAGTTTCTTGAATGGTAAGTTTGTTGCTTTTGCTGATCTTCTTAAGTTTCCGCTCCAGTTTGATAAGGATGTAAACCATGTCAGGAAAGTTGAGAGACAATCCTTTTGACCTTGTTATGCGTTAATGTGTTGGTAGAGCCATCTAATGTCGAATGTGATGCCGTTGGTGACTGAACAGAGGTACCAAAGGAAGCATAGACTTCTTTGGGCATGTTTGTGTTTTCGATTCTGAAGAGATGAGCAAATGGATAGTCTAGGTGAATGCCCATCGGTGCTATGTAGCGGCAGTTGATTCCGTTTCTGCATAGAATAATGGACTGGTATTGGAAGATCTTATGATGAAGGCGCTCATGCAGGGTTTTTGACTCGATCAGTTGATGAGCGTCTTTCGGCATGTTGCCGTCAAAGTCGTAGTAACCTCCATTTGATGTCGAGGAGCTTGTCATTAGATTAATTTCTTTGGGTGGATTTCTGCGTAGCATGTCTGCAAGAGTATTCCTTTTGCCCTTTAAATAGAAGGATTCGAAGTCGTACTTCGAGAACCATTAGCTCCATCTCAATAACTGCTGGTGTGGGACCATCTTTTGCTTGAATTGTAACATCTTCGGAAAGGAAGACATATCCATTTCGATGCGAAATTTATGTCCTATCAAGTGAAACTCGAATTTTTCGATTGCTTTCTTGACCGCCAGAATTTCTTTGAACATGGAGTGACAGTGCATTTCATAATCTTTGAAGCGCCCACTTCTGTATCCACAGATTTGTCTTTTCCCATTGATGATAGGATTTGTGTGTGGTGTGAAAGATATGAAATGAGATGTGGTGGAATGCAACAGTGGTATATGATGAGGTGGTAAGATGCAAACACAATCACAGTCAACAATTCCCTTTAACCATCATAGTCATTATAGTATAAAGGGTTATCAATCCAAAATGGGAAATTGTCACTCTATGAGAATATGAAACAACCAGGAAGTCAAGCAAGCAGTAAATGATATGGGGTAACACTAACAACCTAATGAAAGAAATGAAATGCAATAAGTAAATAAAGCAGTAGAAGCAACAGCTCGACCAAGGACTCGAGTCGAGTGGAACAGAGTACCGAGCTCGATCGAGTTTAGGGTCGAGTTGAGTAAAAAGCTAAAGGCAGCGACTTTAACAAGCTAAAGCGAGAATTAGGGTTCAAGACAGGGTTTTGCAATCAGAGGAAGCTACACTTAATCAATCTTGCTCTTAAAACTCCTTGTATCAAGGCTTCTCTTGATATTGGGCTTCTCAATGCCTAGCTAACCCTTTCCCAAGGTGAAAGCTATCAACCAAGGAATGATCTCAGAAACAGGGGGTTAGCCAGTGAGAATCAAACCTTGGAGGCCATAGGATCATTGCCCAAACTAATCCATCCAACCCCTTAGACCTCCATTTCGAGCAAGAGATATTGGAGCTCTTAGTGGACCTTTTCCAGCGATTTCCATCACTTCCATGTGGAGAATCGCCTAAGGACATACAAGCCAGGGGTAGTGGTCATGTAGCCTTAAGATTATCCAAAAGAGAGAGAATCTAGATTAAGACCATAAGCAAGAAGGATTAAGCATATGAAACCTCTAATCTATCCCATCTCAAACCCTAATGGGTAACTACTCACTACACATGAATGTAAACACAAGCAAATGCAATAAAAGAGACATCATAAGAAAGAGGAGATGAAATAAACAACTTTTATTGAAATAAGCAAGTGCAAATACAAAAGATTATCCAGGATCTAGGATTCAAGAAGCAAGAGCTTCAAGAACACAAAGATGGGATTAGATCTCAAAAAGTAAAAGACAATAAATTAAAAGAAGCTAAAACAAAAGTAATCTAAAGCTTGGTGGTTTTTTCGTGGCTTAGAGCCTTTAAATACAAGAGGATTAGGTTTAGGGTCAAAGGAAGTCAAGGGGGAAGCAACATTTTTCGGGTTTGACTTTGACTTCCAGCTCGATCGAGTTGAAGCTTGGCCGGTCGAGTTGAGGAACTCGAGGTGGTCGAGCTGGTCTTCAAGATGGCTTCTCCTTCTTCCTTTGCGTATCCAGTTGAGCTGCGTCCATGCCAAGTCCCTCCATGCTCCTCATGTCCCATATGCTCCAGAATGCTCCAAAAGACCTATTTCAAAGGACCAAACATGCATATGTATGCAAATGCAACCTAAAACTACATGAATGCATAAGAAGAGAAAAGGAACAAGATATGATGCTAATGGATGCTAAAACTATGCAAAAGATGCATAAAAGATGTACTAAAACTATGTAAAATGCAAGTACATCAACACCCCCAAACTTGAACTTTGCTTGCCCTCAAGCAAACAAATAGAACAAGAAAGAGATGAGGTTTGAAAACAAGCTGATTCAACACTTAAAAACATGTCCTCAAAAGCGATTTGCTAAATGTCCAACTTAGAGATTCTAGAATGCAACAAGGTGAGAGATATTCATTAAGATTTAACCATGCTTATCAACATCAATCCCACTTCACAGTCACTCAAACAATGCATTCAAATCAGCAAATCCCTTTAACATTCATTAAGCAAAAACAGTGAACCAAAAACATGCAAGATCAATCAACTCATTTGGTTTCAAGGGTTTATGGGTTAAGAGACAAAGAGGGTCTCTTTTGTATGGTGGTTTAGTAACAGGGATCTCTCAAGAAAGTGGCTTTGCTTTGGCAGAAGGCTAAGTGTTAGAACCAAAGATGATGCAAGAACAGCAGCTCGAGCCGCCTAATCCTAACTCGATCGAGTTCAACACTTAGAGCTTTTTAGAACAAAATCCTAACTACCCTTTTTGGCATTTCGCCTTTGAAACTGAGGAGCTTTGCTCACTTTTCTTTTAAGAACTTCCTAGGGAGAGGCTTCTTGAGGTAACATCTAGCGGTTTGGGATTTTCTAAACACTTAGGGAACTTTTCTTTCTTTTTGACACTTGAGGCTTTGCCTTCTTTTCATTCTACTTAGAACCCTTTTTACTTTCCTTTTTTAACTTCCCAAACCTTTACTAGACCCTTTTGCCAACTCCCTGGACTTAACTAAACTCTTTTTCCTTTGGATTTTCCCAACTTTTACCACTTTTCTGGTTTTTACACCCAACTCGATCGAGCTCGAGTTGGCACCCCCAAACTTAGCCTGAAAACAATCCCAAGAGAACTAGACAACTAGAACTACTGCCCCTGCCGGTTTAAACACAACACCTTATGCTAAGCAAAGCCAAGAAAGGTTCTCACATTCGCACAAGAGATAATATGGGGTTTGAAATGAAAAGGCTTAGGTTTAAGGTGTGGTAACTGTCTCAAAGATGGAGATCAGCTATCTGGACAAGCAAAGGGATATGAAAATAGGTAAAGAATGTCCAGATATGTATGTGGTAGCCATGAGTTGAAATCAAATGCAAGCATTGGTAATTAAAGATCAAGTTATGGTTCAAATAGATAGGGAAATGCATCAAATCACAGCAATGGTTGAATGAGATGTGCATGCAGTGATATGATCAAGATAAACATGGTTCTTGCTGCTCAATCAATCTCACCCTAATGCACAAAAGAATCTAAAAACAGGGCACTCAAGAAATCGCAAAAGATGGACAAGTTTTCAAAGTCAAATCAACAATGCAAGTGAAAAATGCAATCCTAAACAAGTCTAACAAATATGAATGCAAAAAGATGAAAATATTTTTGGATTTTTTGAAAATTTTATGATTTTTTTGGTTTTTCTATGCAAAAGATAATGAAAAACTAAGAACAAAGAAAACAAGGTTAAATCATCTCTTGAACCCTCCCCCAAACTTAAATCACACAGTCCCTTGTGTGAGAAAATTTAGTGAAAGATTCAAGAGGGCAAAACCAAGAAAAAAAAACAAATGCAAGAAAATATGAAATGGTATATACAAGGGTTGGTGTTTGGATACCTCAGTGCCCCCCAAAGAACTGGGAGGCAAGGTCGTGGTCTGGAGATGGGAGACGGCCATCAGGAGCACTCCACTCGACTGGGTTCGTCACTCGATCGAGCTTGCTCTCTTCTTCCTTCTTCATCTCAAAGTGGTGTGGCTTCCTTGGCCTTGGTGGAGCTGTGCTCGCTCGAAGCGGTTGTAGGGTCCATGGTCTGAGGAAGTCCTGGTAGGCGTTGGATCGTACTCGAATCCAGGGTTCTCAAACAGGGGCTCCTCCAGGTCAACTCGACCCTCAGCTCGATCGAGTTTGGACTCGATCGAGTCCGGTGGTCGAGCGTCTGGCCTTGGAACTCTTCCTCCTTCTCTGCGTGTTGTCTCTCCTTCCCTTGGCTCGAAAGAAGAGGCTCTGTGAGGCTCTTGGGCAGGGAGCCTCCTTGGGTGGTGAGGAGTGATCTACTCCTAGGGAAGTGGGGGCCTTGGGTTCTTCTTCTTGCTTGAAGAACCAGAAACCTTCTTCTCCAAACTTTTGATCTTGCTCACCATCTTGTCCATGGACTTTTGCATCTTTCCATGGCTTTCCCTTGCCACTTGTTGAACTTTGGAGAAGTCCAATCCTCTTGTGGGCAGCCACAACAGAGGGGTTCATCCTTGGAGCCTCATACTCCTCAAAGTAATAGCACTCAGGCTCACCCAAATCCGCATTCACTGAGCTGATCCTCAGCTCGATCCTCAGCTCGATCGAGCTCAGGCTCCTCTTCTCGCAAATCCTCTTCATGCCCAACTAATGTGTACACAGGGGGTCTGAAGTCAATGTTCTCACCCCTACAACTGTGGTGAGCTCAGGGTTGGGCAGGAAGAAGCTTGGAGGGCCAGCCAATGGATGTGTGAACTTGAATTGGAACCTCCCATCCAACTCCTTGTGCTCAATGAGGAGGTTGGTCTTGCAAAACTTGATGTCCATCCAACCTGGTCAGTAGACCTTCTCTTGTCAGTTGGACTCCAGCAGCACACAAGATAGGTGTGATGACCCTCCAACACTAAGCTTTCCTTCCCTTTGCCTAGTGTTGTAAGGTGTCTTGTAGGAGAGAGCTGGTCAAGGAGGCATGAGTTCCCTGCATGATTATCTCCCCTGATCTCTTCCCATCCTTGTGCGTGAGATGATGGGCTTGATTCCCATGTCAAGGAGCTTCCCCCTCATTGATTGTCCCGTGCCTTCCTTGCAAAGAAGGTGTTGGCAAGAGCCTTGTGCACATATCTCAAGCACTGGGCTCCTGATCTGAGCAGCCTTGGACCTTGAGGAAGAGTACACTCCATCAGCGATTGTAGCCCAAACCCTTTGGAGTCATCCTTCCTTGAAGTTCCATGGTTCCCTCCCATAGTGAACCCAAACAAGATCTCCAACTGCCTAAAGGTCACCATTCTCTTCTCTCCCTTAGCCAAGAACGTGATCCATCCCAATCCTTGGTCCAACTCAGCTCGATCGAGCTCCATACTGTGTACCTCATTGAAGCCAAAACTCACAAGTGAGCTCCTTGTAGATTCCATGTGGTAGAGAAGAACTTGGCCAAGTGCATGTTCTTGAGGACCAACTCCACATCCTCAAAGATTCCAAGGCCTTCATTGTGTCATCATGTGGGTACTTGGTCTCCACAAAGTCCATGGAGAAGAGAGCATCATAGTGCTCTTGGTACATGGGGAGCTCATCCTCTTCTTCCTCTGACTCCTCCTCTCCATGGGCACATTCTCATTGCTCTCATGCTCACTCTCCTCAATCTCTTGATTGACCTCTTCTCCTTCCTCTTGGAGAGTCATCATTCTCTCATTCAATGTTCACCCAATCTCAAACTCTCCCTTCGCTCTCACTGCTGATGGGTCATTCCTCTCTTGGTCCTTCTCTCTCCCTCACCTCTCAATCTCTTCCTCATCTTCCTTGGTTAGTGTTTTAGTATTCTCCTTGCTCCTCTCTTATCTCCTTCTTTGTGAAGCTGCTTGCTTCCTTCACCTCTCAACATCTTAACTGTTGCTTCTTAAAGTTGGGTTCCTGAAATGCATCAAAAACTCAAAGAATTAGAGTTGTAATGATCGGTTTGGTCAACTCGACACTCAGCTCGATCGAGTCAAAAAACTCGAGTGACAAACTCGATCGAGCTAGGTGAAAACAGAGTATAACCGAACCTAATTCAAATAAGAGCTGGAAAGGATGCTAATCAATCAAATTGAACCAAGAACAACTAGTAAATGGAACAATAAGCAATTCTAGTGAAAACAAGCATCTTAACCAATACCAAACTCAAATTCAATTTCAAGCACATGCAACAAGTTTAATGGCAAAACAGAGGTGAGGTGAGGCAAATTCACAAGATATATAAGAGAAAAAGAAAGCAATTACTCAAGAACAAGTCCACAAGGGACACATGCAATCAAAAATCAAAGAGGAAACAAGCAATGGAAGGAATCGAGATGAAGGAATCAAGGGTTTTAGGGTTCATACCTTGCTTGAATGATGGAATTGAACAGAAAGTAGAACTAAGCAAAACAAGAAGATGAACAGAGAAATCGCAAAAACTTAAGAGAGAAAGAGAGAAATCGATTTTTCTTGTGGTGAAGAGAGAGATGGTGATTTCAGAAATTTAGAGTGTGGGAGAGAGGAGAAGTGGGTTCGATCGAGTTATGGGGAAGAGGGAGTGTTTGAGATGTGTGGTTGAGATTAAAAGATGAAATAAAGAGGGGACAAGAAGCTAGGGATTTTCTGATCGAATTAGGGTAGTGGGGGACCAAAATCAGCTTGTGGGACCCACTCCCTTGACCAAGAAAACGGTTATGAATTTGAAATTCAAAAACTTACCTTGGTCGAGTTGTGGAACTCGATCGAGTTGCCCTGGTTTCTAGCTCGATCGAGCTGTCGGTCGAGCTGGCTCCTTTGACACCTAAACTTAACTTATTGAAAGGTTAAAACACAAAATAGATAGAAATTGCATAAATAGAATATGTACAAGGATAAACATGGGACTTCCTCCCAAGTGAGCTTGTTTAAGGTCCCATAGCTTGACCTTTACCTTCTTAGGCATTGGTTGAGCTAGTCCCACCATCAAGGGTGATAGTGAGGACTTGAGACAGAAGCTCCTTTAGCTTGGTTGGGTCCCTGGACTGTTCTGAAGTCACCAAGGCCTTGGCTCTAGAGAATGGCCTTGATCTCCCCTTGTACCTTATCTTGTACTCAATCTTCCCATTTTCAAACTTGGTGGGGAACAAAGTCATTGTGAGCTGAGATGGCTTGACTGAAGGGGCCTGAGCTGGTGGATCCTTTCTTTTATCTCCTGGTCTTGCCTTAGAGGCTGCATCCTCCCCTTCTTTTAGAGCCCTTCCTAGTGGCTCATCAAACAAAGCTTGAAGGCTCTCTTCATCAAGCACACAAGGGGCTTGAACAAGTCTATCAGCTCTTGGCCTATCAGATCGTGGTTTCTCAACTCTAGCCCTCTCAAGACGTGGCTTCTCAATCCTTGGTCCTCTCTCATCCTTATCCTTCCCAACTCTTGGTTCTTTGTCAACCCTTTCCTTCACAACCTTTGTAGCTCCATGACTCTTAGAACTGAGATGGTACTGTCAATTGTGGCACAAAAGTCTGAACCTCTAGGCTGCAAGCGATATGACACCAAACTATTCACCTTGTGAAGGATCACTTCTTGCTTGTGAAAGTCTATTGAAGCGCCAACTGTACTAAGGAAAGGGGTTCCCAATAACAGAGGTAAATCCTTCTCTTCTTCCATTTCCATCACAGTGAGATCAGTTTGGATGATGCATTCTCCAATTTTCAAGTGATAGTTCTTGAACACTCCAAGAGGAGACTTAGAAGTTGCATCTCCAAACATGATTGAAGTAGTAGGGCGCTGCAAGGCTCCAGCAATGCCTAGCTTCTCTGCCATGGAGAGAGAGATCAGATTGATGCTTGCTCCAGAATCCACTAAGGCATTGTCAATCTCAAGATGCCCAAGTGTGCAAGGGAGAGTGAATTTCCCTTGATCCTTGACCTTTGGTAGGAAGGTGGGTGAAGTAAGCAGGTTGAACTGATGAGTAGACTCTTGTAGGACCTCTGAAACTTTATCACTGTTGGCCATAACATCCTTGACCATTTGCATTTGATCAAATGCCTCACTCATGCTATCCATAGGAGGCAACTCAATTCCAATCCCACTGAGATCTCTTCTGAACTTGTGAATCACTTCCTTGTGACCTTGACTAAGTAGGCGAGACGAGGAAGTGGCAACCGGTTGGTAAGGATCAAGCAAAACAGGCTTGGGACAGAAGAGGTCGGACTCGATCGAGCTAGAGTTGGACTCGATCGAGCTGCCGATCGAGCTTGTTGTGCGAGCTCAACTGGTGAAGTGTGAATGGCCACAGTAGGTGCATGCACTTCTGGTTGATCAATCTGGACTCCAGGAGCCTCAGCAGCAACAATCTCTTCATCATTCAGCAGTAAACAAAAATCTTCAATGACCCTTTCTTGATCCTCTTCTTCAACAAGTCCTTCTTGAGTGAAGATGACCTTGCACTGTTCCTTGGGGTTCTGAATAGCTTTACCAGGTAGTTGTCCTTGCTTTGTAGCAGCAGCAACAGAAGAAGCATGATTCTCCAGAGAGTAAACCCTTGTGTTGAGGTTCTCGATCTTAGAGTTTATTTCAGCTAGCTTCTTGCTTGTGTCCACTACCCCATCAGCTTGCCCTTGAAGTAGTTGCTTTAGCATTGCCTTGAGCTCATTCTCTTGTGAAGGTGCAGGCTGGGGTGGTTGGTGGGGAAAGCCTGGTGGGATATTCATTTGTTGTCCAGGGAAAGTGCCTTGTGGTCCTTGGTAATTGTTCTTTTGACCATACCCATGTTGTGGCTTGACTCGATCGAGCTGCTTGTTGTTGAGGATAGACTTGGTCCTGAGGGTTAGCAACATCAGTGTTGCGGTATGACATGGCAGGGTTGGACTTGTAATTATAGTATCCTTTGTTGTAACCTCCTTGCCCATTGCTCATGTAGCACACCTCAGCAAATTGTGTATCCTCCCCTTCTTGGACTGGTTCCATCTCCTCAGCAGACACAAAGTTGACTTTCTTCATTGTGGACTGAGCTAGGATCAGCTTATCCAACTTCTCATTCAATGCCTTAACATCTTTTCTCAACTTTTCGTCTGACTCGATCGAGTGGTGGGTCGAGCTCCGGTTGGTGCGATCATACTCTTCTCCATAGCTTCCATTTGAGTTAGCTATGTTCTCCACAAGTTGCCAGCCATCATCTACATCCTGGTTGAGGAAGTTCCCATTGCTAGCTGTGTCTAGCATCTCCCTATACCTAGGCAAGCATCCTCTATAAAGAGTGGAGAGAGTGATTCATTGTTGAATCCATGGTGTGGGCACTGACTTGTGTAGCCTTTGAACCTCTCCCAAGCCTCTGCGAATGTCTCATTGTTTCGCTGGATGAAGCTGGATATCTCTCCTCTAAGCTTGGCTGTGCGACCGGTGGAGAAAAACTTAGCAAGAAAGGCCTTCTTGCATTCATCCCAAGTGGTGATTGTGCCATGGGGCAAGCTCTTCTCCCATTGGTGAGCTTTGTCAGCTAGAGACATAGGAAAGAGTCTCAGCTTGATGGCATCTTCAGAGACACCATTGATCTTTGTCAAATCACAAAGCCTATCAAACTCATCAAGGTGGTCAATGGGGTCTTCACTTGGCAATCCATGGAACATCTTGTTCTGGACAAGGTTGATCATTCCCAGCTTGATCTCAAAGTTGTGGTTCTGCACTGGTGGTGGAACAATCCCTTGTCTCTGTTGGTGGCGGTTTGGAGCATCTCCTTGACCAATCGGTCGAGTTTGCCTAGCTCGACCGAGTCCATTGCCCAAAGGGTTTCCATTCCCCTCTGGTACATCCATTGTATCAGCAACAAGCACCTCAGGTTCCTCTTGTACCCTCTGTGACCTCTGAACCCTCTTTCTACCCGTTGTGAAGTCTAGCTCGACCAAGTCTTCTGTAGACCGACTCGATCGAGTTCGCATACACCTGCAAAAAGAGACAAAAACCCAGCAGTACAATAGAACAGGGGTGGTATAGCTTGATCGTCCAAGTGTGTTTGAAACTCAAATGCAACAAAAATATTCCCAAATCGGCAACGGCGCCAAATTGATGATAGGATTTGTGTGTGGATGTGAAAGATATGAAATGAGATGTGGTGGAATGCAACAGTGGTAATATGAGGTGGTAAGATGCAAACACAATCACAGTCAACAATTCCCTTAACCATCATAGTCATTATAGTATAAGGGTTATCAATCCAAAATGGGAAATTGTCACTCTATGAGAATATGAAACAACAGAAGTCAAGCAAGCAGTAAATGATATGGGGTAACACTAACAACCTAAGAAATGAAATGCAATGCAATAAGTAAACAAAGCAGTAAAGCAACAGCTCGACCAAGGACTCGAGTCGAGTGGGAACAGAGTACCAGCTCGATCGAGTTTAGGGTCGAGTTGAGTAAAAAGCTAAAGACGACTTTAACAAGCTAAAGCGAGAATTAGGGTTCAAGACAGGGTTTGCAATCAGAGGAATCTATACTTAATCAATCTTGCTCTTAAAACTTGTATCAAGGCTTCTCTTGATATTGGGCTTCTCAATGCCTAGCTAACCCTTTCCCAAGGTGAAAGCTATCAACCAAGGAATGATCTCAGAAACAGGGGGTTAGCCAGTGAGAATCAAGCCTTGGAGGCCATAGGATCATTGCCAAACTAATCCATCCAACCCCTTAGACCTCATTTCTAGAGCAAGAGATATTGGAGCTCTTAGTGGACCTTTTCCAGCGATTTCCATCACTTCCATGTGGAGAATCGCCTAAGGACATACAAGCCAGGGGTAGTGGTCATGTAGCCTTAAGATTATCCAAAAGAGAGAGATCTAGATTAAGACCATAAGCAAGAAGGATTAAGCATAAAACCTCTAATCTATCCCATCTCAAACCCTAATGGGTAACTACTCACTACACATGAATGTAAACACAAGCAAATGCAATGAAAAGACATCATAAGAAAGAGGAGATGAAATAAACAACTTTTATTGAAATAAGCAAGTGCAAATACAAAAGATTATCCAGGATCTAGGATTCAAGAAGCAAGAGCTTCAAGAACACAAAGATGGGATTAGTCTAAAAAGTAAAAGACAATAAATTAAAAGAAGCTAAAACAAAATAATCTAAAGCTTGGTGGTTTTTTCGTGGCTTAGAGCCTTTAAATACAAGAGGATTAGGTTTAGGGTCAAAGGAAAGTCAAGGGGGAAGCAACATTTTTCGGGTTTGACTTTGACTTCTCAGCTCGATCGAGTTGAAGCTTGGCCGGTCGAGTTGAGGAACTCGACCGGTTGGTCGAGTAGGTGGTCGAGCTGGTCTTCAAGATGGCTTCTCCTTCTTCCTTTGCGTATCCAGTTGAGCTGCGTCCATGCCAAGTCCCTCCATGCTCCTCATGTCCCATATGCTCCAGAATGCTCCAAAAGACCTATTTCAAAGGACCAAACATGCATATGTATGCAAATGCAACCTAAAACTACATGAATGCATAAGAAGAGAAAAGGAACAAGATATGATGCTAATGGATGCTAAAACTATGCAAAAGATGCATAAAAGATGTACTAAAACTATGTAAAATGCAAGTACATCACCCATCTATCTCTTCGAACAGTATTGCTCCCCAGTATTTATCACTTGCGTATGTCTGTAAGATTCGTGTTCCCGTGGAGGGAATCTGTAAAGTTGGTAGCTTCTGTATCTCTATTTTTAGCCTTTTGACCACTTCAGTTTGTCGTTTTGCCCATTGTGGTGGATTCTTTGTCAGCCTTTTTTGGAGTGGTCTTGTCAACTGCGAAAGTTGCGGAATGAAGTCACTAACATAATTAATGACCCCGGGAAATTGTTGAACTTGTCTCCTTGTTAGATTTTCGTCGGGAAAATCAAGAAGTGCTGTAGCAAGATGAGATTGCGGTTTGACTTGTCCCATCGTGATTTGCATTCCAAGAAAATCGATGTTGGGCTGGGCTATGATCATTTGAGGGACCGAATATGATCTTCTTAATTTGAGGAGAATAGGAGTATGTCGTCGATGTATATCAATTCTGTGTTGAGGAGAGGCTTGAAGATTCTTAGCATCGCCTGTTGGAAAAGTGAAGGCGCAGTTTTGAGTCCAAAAGGTAGGACACTCCACTGGAGATGTCGATTTGGTAGGCAGAAAGCTGTTTTGTATCTTCGTTAAGATGGATACTCAGTTGCCAGAATCCCGATTTTAGGTCAAACTTTGGAAATATTGTCGCTCCTTGGAGATGTTGTAGGAGGGCCTTGGAAATATTGTTTGGTAATGAGAATTTGATGTCCTGAAGATATTGGTTTAGAGGCTTGTAGTCGATGACCAATATGAGTTTGCCTCTAGTTTGTTCTGCACGGTTGTTGACATAGAATGCCTTGCATGCCCATGGTGAGTTTGTTGATGAAACGATTCCTTGGCTCACCAATTGGTCATATTCTTCATTTGCCTGTTGTAGGAGAGTAGGCGGCATTCCTGCATGACTTGCCCTTGTGGGTGTTGTATGGACGTTTTCTTTGAAAGGCAGGGTGACGAAGAACTCTGAGTTTAGCCATAATGGATTTTTTCACTTTTGAAGGAAATCCATATCGGAGTCTGCATAAGAGATTATCGTGATTTCTTCTTTGATTTTTTCTAACTCTCCTTGAGCATATCCTGGTGTTGTTTCTTCGACTGTGAACAGGCGAGGTATCGTTGTAAATGCCTTGTAAAGAGACTTCCACTTCATGCGTCGTGGTTCGAGTGAAATATCGAAAATTTTTCTTCAGTGCATAATATGTATCCCATCCTAGTACTAGATCTTTTCCTGGTGCAGATGATCCTAGTACTTCTGTTGTGATTTGACATCCGGGGAAGAGTTCAGTCGTTACTGGTTTTGACTTGAGTTTGACTGTGAGGGAACCCGAGTTTGCAACCCTGAACTCTTGTCGATGCGGCAGCCACATGGATTTAAGAAGAATTTTTGGGTTCATGATGGACGTATAAGCCCCTGTGTTGATAAACGCAATGGCGTGAACTGGGCCTTCTTTTTCCGAGGGATCGAAAATCGTCACTGGCAAGTGAGGTGTTTGGATCTCATTCTGCTTCGGTAATTGTGTAATTTTGAAGCATCATTCATCTTCGTTTTCATCATATGATGATTCTGATGAATAGTCGTAATCCGAGTATTCACACAAACCATCTTTGTCGTCGCTGTCGTATGATAATACAGACTCAGACTCGAGATCATGGTTGTCGAGATCGATATCCGGCGCTATGCTTGAGATTGAGTTGATGAGATATTGCTTTTTCTTTCTCGATCTGTTGGGGCAATTCTTTGCGAAATGTCCTTCTTGGTGGCATAGAAAGCACTTTGTCGTCTTTTCAAAGCTTCGCTTTTTTTTGAAGAATCTTTTCCGGCAGAATTTGTTGAAGCGCTTCTTGAATGGCTTCCTAAAACTTGGATGTTTGCTTCGCATGTCGTATGAACAATTCTTCTTTGACTTAGAGCACTTGATAGATAGGTTTGGCCTTGCACATAGTTTTGATAAATGCTTTGATTTGTTCATGAACTCCGTCCATAACTCTTTTTGTTTGCATAACTTGTCATGTGTTCGGAAGACGTATTGTTGGATTTGACCTATGGAAATTTCTTCGACATTTTTGCCCTTGAAAAGACACGTCTAGAACCTATTAATCTATGTGTGGATAAGTATGTGTCCATCTAGTTAATCTTATCCACTACAAGTGAGTTTCCACAATGTGGAGGCACAGAGGTACATTTTGGACTCCTTACCTCTTCCGGTTCCCAAATTTGGTCCATTTGATGTTCCTTCCTTGGATTGAGACCGTTTCACTCATGTCTGTCCTCATAGTAATGTGGAGAACCTATGAATCCATGTTTGGGTATGTTGATATACCTCTATTTTACATGCTTTTTATACTATTTTAGTATGGTTTTCTAATGGTTTTGGCAGGTTTTCTATCTAAAAAGGTAGTTTTATTGGATTAATAGTACTTAGAGTCTAAATAGGTGAAATGATGCATTTTGGAGCAAAACCATAGGATTGGCGCTTCAAGCCGCTCCATATCGAAACATCAACTTTGAGAAGGCCCAGAAAAAGATCACTTCCCCGCGTGCTCTGAGTGAGTTAACTTTCCAACGCAAGTGGTTTGACATCATTTGGATGAGTAAAAATGAAGTTATGATCAAATTAGTGAAGACTGGTCTAGACAGCTTGATCGAGCATTCGCGTCCTAAACCGCGCACACCGGCCGATCGAGGAACGAACGTACCGCGATCGTCCCGCGCACAACATCCGCGCCATCCTGCCGAGCTCACGTACCGACCCGGGAAGCAACGTCCCGCGGTCGAGCCGTTTCAGCCTCGCCACCATAATCCGCGCACGACCGCGCAGCGCGAACTGGGAAGCATTGTCTGGCGACTGCGCGGCACATATCACGTCCCGCGGCCGATCCAACCGTCCGACCAGGAAGGCTTCGCCCCACGTCCGGTCCAGAACCTTCGGCCAAATCATCCACCCGGCCGACTGATGTACTTGCATTTTACATAGTTTTAGCACATCTTTTATGCATCTTTTGCATAGTTTTAGCTTCCATTTGCATCATATCTTGTTCCTTTTCTCTTCTTATGCATTCATGTTAGTTTTAGGTTGCATTTGCATACATATGCATGTTTGGTCCTTTGAAATAGGTCTTTTGGAGCATTCTGGAGCATATGGGACATAAGGAGCATGGAGGGACTTGGCACATGGAAGCAGCTCAACTGGATACGCAAAGGAAGAAGGGAGAAGCCATCTTGAAGACCAGCTCGACCGTCCACTCGACCAACCGGTCGAGTTCCTCAACTCGACCGGCCAAGCTTCAACTCGATCGAGCTGGAGTCAAAGTCAAACCCGAAAAATGTTGCTTCCCCCTTGACTTCCTTTGACCCTAAACCTAAAATCCTCTTGTATTTAAAGGCTCTAAGCCACGAAAAAACCACCAAGCTTTAGATTATTTTGTTTTAGTTTCTTTTAATTTATTGTACTTTTACTTTTTAGAGATCTAATCCATCTTTGTGTTCTTGAAGCTCTTGCTTCTTGAATCCTAGATCCTGGATAATCTCTCTTGTATTTGCACTTGCTTATTTCAATAAAAGTTGTTTAATTTCATCTCCTCTTTCTTATGATGTCTCTTTTATTGCATTTGCTTGTGTTTACATTCATGTGTAGTGAGTAGTTACCCATTGGGGTTTGAGATGGGATAGATTAGAGGTTTCATATGCTTAATCCTTCTAGCTTATGGTCTTAATCTAGATTCTCTCTCTTTTGGATAGATCTTAAGGCTACATGACCACTACCCCTGGCTTGTAAGTCCTTAGGCGACTCCCCACACGAAAGTGATGGCATTCGCTGGAAAAGATCCACTAAGAGCTCCAATATCTCTTGCTCTAGACAATAGAGGTCTAAGGGGTTGGATGGATTAGTTTGGGCAATGATCCTATAGCCTCCAAGGTTTGATTCTCACTGGCTAACCCCCTGTTTCTGAGATCATTCCTTGGTTGATAGCCTCCACCTTGGGAAAGGGTTGGCTAGGCATTGAGAAGCCCAATATCAAGAGAAGCCTTGATACAAGGAGTTTTAAGAGCTAGATTGATTAAGTGTAGATTCCTTTGATTGCAAAACCCTGTCTTGAACCCTAATTCTCTCTTTATCTTGTTAAAGTCGTCACCTTTAGCTTTGTTTGTCTCAACTCGTCCCTAAACTCGATCGAGCTGGTACTTTGCTCTGACTCGACTCGAGCTCTTGGTCGAGCTGATACTTCACTGCTTTCTTTACTTTTATTGCACTGCTTTTCATTTTATTTAGGTTGTTAGTGTTACTTCAAATCTTAACTGCTTGCTTGACTTCCTGGTTGTTTCATATTCTCAAGAGTGACAAGTTTCCCATTTTGGATTGATAACCCTTTGTACTACATCAACTATCATGGTTAAAGGGAATTGTTGACTGTGTTTGTGTTTGCATCTTACCACCTCATCATATACCACTGATTGCATTCCACTCATCTCATTTCATATCTTTTCACATCCACACACAAAACCTATCATCAAAACCTTATCATTTTATGATCAATCCCATTGTAAAAGATGTTCCAAAGGTTACCTTCTGAAAAGCCATGGTTAGGGCAGCTTGATGATAGAATTTGTGTGTGGATGTGAAAAGAAATGAAATGAGATGAGTGGAATGCAATCAGTGGTATATGATGAGGTGGTAAGATGCAAACACAAACACAGTCAACAATTCCCTTTAACCATGATAGTTGATGTAGTACAAAGGGTTATCAATCCAAAATGGGAAATTTGTCACTCTTTGAGAGTATGAAACAACCAGAAAGTCAAGCAAGCAGTTATAGATTTGAAGTGACACTAACAACCTAAATAAAATGAAATGCAATGCAATAAAAGTAAATAAAGCAGTGAAGTAACAGCTCGACCAAGAGCTCGAGTCGAGTCAGAACAAAGTACCAGCTCGATCGAGTTTAGGGACGAGTTGAGACAAACAAAGCTAAAGGTGACGACTTTAATAAGCTAGAGAGAGAACTATGGTTCAAGGCAGGGTTTTGCAATCAAAGGAATCTACACTTAATCAATCTAGCTCTTAAAACTCCTTGTATCAAGGCTTCTCTTGATATTGGGCTTCTCAATGCCTAGCCAACCCTTTCCCAAGGTGGAGGCTATCAACCAAGGAATGATCTCAGAAACAGGGGGTTAGTGATGATATGATTTTAGGTGGATGTGATATGATATGAATGAAGGATGATAAGATATGAGGTGGAATGCAAACAGGGGTGAATAAAGATGAATGGTGCAATCACAATCAATCAATTCCTCTTAACCATCATAGTCATTGAAGTATAAGAGGTTATCAATCCAAAATGGGAAACTTGTCACTCTTTGAGAATATGAAACAACCAGGAAAGTCAAGCAAGCAGTTAATAGATTTGAAGTAACACTAACAACCTAAAAAAATGAAAAGCAGTGCAATAAAAGTAAACAAAGCAGTGAAGTGTCAGCTCGACCAAGAGCTCGAGTCGAGTCAGAGCAAAGTACCAGCTCGATCGAGTTTAGGGACGAGTTGAGACAAACAAAGCTAAAGGTGACGACTTTAACAAGATAAAGAGAGAATTAGGGTTCAAGACAGGGTTTTGCAATCAAAGGAATCTACACTTAATCAATCTAGCTCTTAAAACTCCTTGTATCAAGGCTTCTCTTGATATTGGGCTTCTCAATGCCTAGCCAACCCTTTCCCAAGGTGGAGGCTATCAACCAAGGAATGATCTCAGAAACAGGGGGTTAGCCAGTGAGAATCAAACCTTGGAGGCTATAGGATCATTGCCCAAACTAATCCATCCAACCCCTTAGACCTCTATTGTCTAGAGCAAGAGATATTGGAGCTCTTAGTGGATCTTTTCCAGCGAATGCCATCACTTTCGTGTGGGGAGTCGCCTAAGGACTTACAAGCCAGGGGTAGTGGTCATGTAGCCTTAAGATCTATCCAAAAGAGAGAGAATCTAGATTAAGACCATAAGCTAGAAGGATTAAGCATATGAAACCTCTAATCTATCCCATCTCAAACCCTAATGGGTAACTACTCACTACACATGAATGTAAACACAAGCAAATGCAATAAAAGAGACATCATAAGAAAGAGGAGATGAAATTAAACAACTTTTATTGAAATAAGCAAGTGCAAATACAAAGAGATTATCCAGGATCTAGATTCAAGAAGCAAGAGCTTCAAGAACACAAAGATGGGATTAGATCTCTAAAAAGTAAAAGACAATAAATTAAAAGAAACTAAAACAAAATAATCTAAAGCTTGGTGGTTTTTTCGTGGCTTAGAGCCTTTAAATACAAAGAGGATTAGGTTTAGGGTCAAAGGAAGTCAAGGGGGAAGCAACATTTTTCGGGTTTGACTTTGACTTCCAGCTCGATCGAGTTGAAGCTTGGCCGGTCGAGTTGAGGAACTCGACCGGTTGGTCGAGTGGACGGTCGAGCTGGTCTTCAAGATGGCTTCTCCCTTCTTCCTTTGCGTATCCAGTTGAGCTGCTTCCATGTGCCAAGTCCCTCCATGCTCCTCATGTCCCATATGCTCCAGAATGCTCCAAAAGACCTATTTCAAAGGACCAAACATGCATATGTATGCAAATGCAACCTAAAACTAACATGAATGCATAAGAAGAGAAAAGGAACAAGATATGATGCAAATGGAAGCTAAAACTATGCAAAAGATGCATAAAAGATGTGCTAAAACTATGTAAAATGCAAGTACATCAACACCCCCAAACTTGAACTTTGCTTGCCCTCAAGCAAACAAATAGAACAAGAAAGAGATGAGGTTTGAAAAAAGCTGATTCAACACTTAAAAACATGTCCTCAAAAGCGATTTGCTAAATGTCCAACTTAGAGATTCTAGAATGCAACAAGGTGAGAGATATTCATTAAGATTTAACCATGCTTATCAACATCAATCCCACTTCACAGTCACTCAAACAATGCATTCAAATCAGCAAATCCCTTTAACATTCATTAAGCAAAAACAGTGAACCAAAAACATGCAAGATCAATCAACTCATTTGGTTTCAAGGGTTTATGGGTTAAGAGACAAAGAGGGTCTCTTTTGTATGGTGGTTTAGTAACAGGGATCTCTCAAGAAAGTGGCTTTGCTTTGGCAGAAGGCTAAGTGTTAGAACCAAAGATGATGCAAGAACAGCAGCTCGAGCCGCCTAATCCTAACTCGATCGAGTTCAACACTTAGAGCTTTTTAGAACAAAATCCTAACTACCCTTTTTGGCATTTCGCCTTTGAAACTGAGGAGCTTTGCTCACTTTTCTTTTAAGAACTTCCTAGGGAGAGGCTTCTTGAGGTAACATCTAGCGGTTTGGGATTTTCTAAACACTTAGGGAACTTTTCTTTCCTTTTTGACACTTGAGGCTTTGCCTTCTTTTCATTCTACTTAGAACCCTTTTTACTTCCTTTTTTAACTTCCCAAACCTTTACTAGACCCTTTTAACACTGCCAACTCCCTGGACTTAACTAAACTCTTTTTCCTTTGGGTTTTTCCCAACTTTTACCACTTTTCTGGTTTTTACACCCAACTCGATCGAGCTCGAGTTGGCACCCCCAAACTTAGCCTGAAAACAATCCCAAGAGAACTAGACAACTAGAACTACTGCCCCTGCCGGTTTAAACACAACACCTTATGCTAAGCAAAGCCAAGAAAGGTTCTCACATTCGCACAAGAGATAATATGGGGTTTGAAATGAAAAAGGCTTAGGTTTAAGGTGTGGTAACTGTCTCAAAGATAGAGATCAGCTATCTGGACAAGCAAAAGGGATATGAAAATAGGTAAAGAATGTCCAGATATGTATGTGGTAGCCATGAGTTGAAATCAAATGCAAGCATTGGTAATTAAAGATCAAGTTATGGTTCAAAAGATAGGGAAATGCATCAAATCACAGCAATGGTTGAATGAGATGTGCATGCAGTGATATGATCAAGATAAACATGGTTCTTGCTGCTCAATCAATCTCACCCTAATGCACAAAAGAATCTAAAAACAGGGCACTCAAGAAATCGCAAAAGATGGACAAGTTTTCAAAGTCAAATCAACAATGCAAGTGAAAAATGCAATCCTAAACAAGTCTAACAAATATGAATGCAAAAAGATGAAAATATTTTTGGATTTTTTGAAAATTTTATGATTTTTTTGGTTTTTCTATGCAAAAGATAAATGAAAAACTAAGAACAAAGAAAACAAGGTTAAATCATCTCTTGAACCCTCCCCCAAACTTAAATCACACAGTCCCTTGTGTGAGAAAAATTTAGTGAAAGATTCAAGAGGGCAAAACCAAGAAAAAACAAGAACAAATGCAAGAAAATATGAAATGGTATATACAAGGGTTGGTGTTTGGATACCTCAGTGTCCCCCAAAGAACTGGGAGACTAGGTCGTGGTCTGGAGATGGTAGACGGCCATCAGGAGCGCTCCATGCAACTGGGGTTGCCTCTTGCGGCTCACTCGATCGAGCTTGTGGCTCCTCTTCCTCCTCTTCTTCATCGTTGAAATGTGTGTGGCTCCCTTGGCCTTGGTGGAGCTGTGCTTGCTCGAAGCTGTTGTAGGGGTCCAGTTGGTCTGAGAGAAGTCCTGGTACTGCGTTGGATCGTACTCGAATCCGGATTCTCAAACAGGGGCTCCTCCAGGTCAGCTCGACCGTCAGCTCGATCGAGTTGAGTTTCCTCTGTTTGGACTCGATCGAGTCCGGTGGTCGAGCTGGAGCGTCTGGCCTTGGAGTCTTCCTCCTTCTCTGCGTGTTGTCTTCTCCTTCCCTTGGCTCGAAAGAAGAGGCTCTGTGAGGCTCTTGGGCAGGAGAGCCTCCTTTGAGTGGTGAGGAGTGACCTACTCCTAGGGAAAGTGGGGCCTTGGGTGCCTTCTTCTTCTTGCTTGAAGAACCAGAAACCTTCTTCTCCAAACTCTTGATCTTGCTCACCATCTTATCCATGGACTTTTGCATCTTGTCCATGGCCTTCCCTTGCCACTTGTTGAACTTTTGGAGAAGTCCAATCCTCTTGTGGGCAGCCACAACAGAGGGGTTCATCCTTGGAGCCTCATACTCCTCAAAGTAATAGCACTCAGGCTCACCCAATAGCACTCTCCTGCACTCATCTTCAGCTTGAGCCTCAGCTCGATCCTCAGCTCGATCGAGCTCAGGCTCCTCTTCTTGCAAATCCGCTTCATGCCCAACTAATGTGTACACAGGGGTCTGAAGTCAATGTTTGTACCTCCTAGAACCGTGGTGAGCTCAGGGTTGGGCAGAAGAAGCTTGGAGAGGTCCAGCCAAGGGATGGTGAATTTGAATTGGAACCTCCCATCCAACTTTGTGCTCAATGAGAAGGTTGGTCTTGCAAAACTTGATGTCCATCCAACCTGGTGGAGTAGACCTTCTCTTGTCCATGAACTCCTGCTGCACAAAGAATTGGTGTGATCACCCCTCCAACACTAAGCTTTCTTCCTCTTTGGTGCCTAGTGTTGTAAGCTGTGACCTTGTAGGCTTGGAGCTGCTCAAGGAGAGGCATGAGATTCCCTGCATGTGCCCTATCTCCTCTGATCTTCTTCCCATCCCTAGTTCGTGAGATGATAGGCTTGATTCCCATGGTAAGGAGCTTCACTTCTCCCTCATTGATTGTTCCAGTGGCTTTCCTTGCAAAGAAGTGTTTGCCTTGTGGACATATCTAAGCAGACTTCTGATCTGGGCAGCCTTGGACCTTGAGGAAGAGTACCCCTCTTCAGCTATTGTAGCCCATACTCTTTGGACTTCCTGTTACCTTCTCCATAGGTGCAGCCTTAAAGGACCTTGAGGAAAGTTATGTACCCCCAGCCTCGGTCCAACTCAGCTCGATCGAGCTCATCAAACTCGTGATGCTTCATTGATGCCAAAAACTCACAAGTCAACTCCTTGTAAGACTCCATGCGGTGAGAGAAGAACTTCCCCAATTGCATGTTCTTGAGCACCAACTCCACATCCTCAAAGATATCCCAAGGTCTCTCATGGTGTCATCATGTGGGTGCTTAGTCTCCACAAAGTCCATGGAGAAGAGAGCATGTAGTGCTCTTGGTACATGGGGAGCTCATCCTCCTCTTGCTCTTCCTCAGCCTCTTCCATTGGCTCATCTTGGTTCCCCTCTTGGTCATCTTCATCAACCAATTGGTTCACCTCTTCTCCTTCCTCTTCACTCTCAGTCCTCACATTCCTTCCTCATTTGGAGAACCATTTCCCTCCTCTTGAACAAGGTTCACTCCAATCTCAAACTCCCCTTGCTCACTCTCACTACTATAGGGTCATTCCTCTTCTTGGTTCTCCTTTCTTCCCTCAATTTCTCACTCTCAGACTGTTCCTCAGAGTAGACATATCCCTCTGCATCAGATTCTTCCATCCTCTGATCCATCTTCTTCAAATCGGCTTGCATCTTAAGCCTTGTCTCTCTTGCATTGCTTGATTCACCCTCAACCATTCTCCTTGTGAAGCGCGGCTTCCCTCACTGTTTGTCATCCTTGTTACTCTGTTTCTTCACTAAAGTACCTGAAATGCATCAAAGATTACAAAGAATTAGAGTTGTAATGATCGGTTTGGTCAACTCGACACTCAGCTCGATCGAGTCAAAAAACTCGAGTGACAAACTCGATCGAGTTGGGTGAAAACAGAGTATAACCAAACCTAATTCAAGTATTAAGAGCTGGAAAGGATGCTAATCAATCAAATTGAACCAAGAACAACTAGTAAATGGAACAATGAGCAATTCTAGTGAAAACATCAGCAACCAACCATTACCAAACTCAAATTCAATCTTTCAAGCACATGCAACAAGTTTAAAGGCAAAACAGAGGTGAGGTGAAACAAACTAACAAGATTATACAGCAGAGGCGAAATATGAGGGCAATTATCAAGAACAAGTCCACAAGGGACACATGCAATCAAAATCAAAGAGAAAACAAGCAATGGAGGAAATCGAGATGAAGAATCAAGGGTTTAGGGTTCATACCTTGCTTGATGATGGAAGAATCACAGAAACAAGAACTAAAGCGAATTGAGAACAAAGGTCAAAGAGAAATCGCAAAAACTTAGAGAGAAAGAGAGAAATCGATTTCTTGTGGTGATGAGAGAGAGAGATGATTTCAGAAATTTTAAGATTGTGGGAGAGGAGAGGTGGATTCGATCGAGTTATGGGGAAGAGGGGTGTTTGAGATGTGTGGTTGAGATTAAAAGATGAAATAAAGAGGGAACAAGAAGCTAGGGATTCTCTGATCAAATTAGGGTAGTGGGGGACCAAAATCAGCTTGTGGGACCCACTCCCTTGACCAAGAAAACGGTTATGAATTTGAAATTCAAAAACTTACCTCGGTCGAGTTGTGTAGCTCGATCGAGTTGCCCTGGTTTCTAGCTCGATCGAGCTATCGGTCGAGCTGGCTCCTTTGACACCTAAACTTAACTTATTCAAAGGTTAAAAACATAAAGATAGATAGAAATTGCATAAATAGAGTATGTACAAGGATAAACATGGGACTTCCTCCCAAGTGAGCTTGTTTAAGGTCCCATAGCTTGACCTTTACCTTCTTAGGCATTGGTTGAGCTAGTCCCACCATCAAGGGTGATAGTGAGGACTTGAGACAGAAGCTCCTTTAGCTTGGTTGGGTCCCTGGACTGTTCTGAAGTCACCAAGGCCTTGGCTCTAGAGAATGGCCTTGATCTCCCCTTGTACCTTATCTTGTACTCAATCTTCCCATTTTCAAACTTGGTGGGGAACAAGGTCATTGTGAGCTGAGATGGCTTGACTGAAGGGGCCTGAGCTGGTGGATCCTTTCTTTTATCACCTGGTCTTGCCTTAGAGGCTGCATCCTCCCCTTCTTTTAGAGCCCTTCCTAGTGGCTCATCAAACAAAGCTTGAAGGCTCTCTTCATCAAGCACACAAGGGGCTTGAACAAGTCTCTCAGCTCTTGGCCTATCAGATCGTGGTTTCTCAACTCTAGCCCTCTCAAGACGTGGCTTCTCAATCCTTGGTCCTCTCTCATCCTTATCCTTCCCAACTCTTGGTTCCTTGTCAACCCTTTCCTTCACAACCTTTGTAGCTCCATGACTCTTAGAACTGAGAGTGGTACTGTCAATTGTGGCACAAAAGTCTGAACCTCTAGGCTGCAAGCGATATGACACCAAACTATTCACCTTGTGAAGGATCACTTCTTGCTTGTGAAAGTCAATTGAAGCGCCAACTGTACTAAGGAAAGGGGTTCCCAATAACAAGGCAAATCCTTCTCTTCTTCCATTTCCATCACAGTGAGATCAGTTTGGATGATGCATTCTCCAATTTTCAAGTGATAGTTCTTGAACACTCCAAGAGGAGACTTAGAAGTTGCATCTCCAAACATGATTGAAGTAGTAGGGCGCTGCAAGGCTCCAGCTATGCCTAGCTTCTCTGCCATGGAGAGAGAGATCAGATTGATGCTTGCTCCAGAATCCACTAAGGCATTGTCAATCTCAAGATGCCCAAGTGTGCAAGGGAGAGTGAATTTCCCTTGATCCTTGACCTTTGGTAGGAAGGTGAAGCTCAACTGCCGATCGAGCTTGCCGTGCGAGCTCAACTGGTGAAGTGTGAATGGCCACAGTAGGTGCATGCACTTCTGGTTGATCAATCTGGACTCCAGGAGCCTCAGCAGCAACAATCTCTTCATCATTCAGCAGTAAACAAAAATCTTCAATGACCCTTTCTTGATCCTCTTCTTCAACAAGTCCTTCTTGAGTGAAGATGACCTTGCACTGTTCCTTGGGGTTCTGAATAGCTTTACCAGGTAGTTGTCCTTGCTTTGTAGCAGCAGCAACAGAAGAAGCATGATTCTCCAGAGAGTAAACCCTTGTGTTGAGGTTCTCGATCTTAGAGTTTATTTCAGCTAGCTTCTTGCTTGTGTCCACTACCCCATCAGCTTGCCCTTGAAGTAGTTGCTTTAGCATTGCCTTGAGCTCATTCTCTTGTGAAGGTGCAGGCTGGGGCGGTTGGTGGGGGAAGCCTGGTGGGATATTCATTTGTTGTCCAGGGAAAGTGCCTTGTGGTCCTTGGTAATTGTTCTTTTGACCATACCCATGTTGTGGCACCTGACTCGATCGAGCTGCTTGTTGTTGAGGATATACTTGGTCCTGAGGGTTAGCAACATCAGTGTTGCGGTATGACATGGCAGGGTTGGACTTGTAGTTATAGTATCCTTTGTTGTAACCTCCTTGCCCATTGCTCATGTAGCATACCTCAGCAAATTGTGTATCCTCCCCTTCTTGGACTGGTTCCATCTCCTCAGCAGACACAAAGTTGACTTTCTTCATTGTGGACTGAGCTAGGATCAGCTTATCCAACTTCTCATTCAATGCCTTAACATCTTTTCTCAACTTTTCGTCTGACTCGATCGAGTGGTGGGTCGAGCTCCGGTTGGTGCGATCATACTCTTCTCCATAGCTTCCATTTGAGTTAGCTATGTTCTCCACAAGTTGCCAGCCATCATCTACATCCTGGTTGAGGAAGTTCCCATTGCTAGCTGTGTCTAGCATCTCCCTATACCTAGGCAAGCATCCTCTATAAAGAGTGGAGAGTAGTGATTCATTGTTGAATCCATGGTGTGGGCACTGACTTGTGTAGCCTTTGAACCTCTCCCAAGCCTCTGCGAATGTCTCATTGTTTCGCTGGATGAAGCTGGATATCTCTCCTCTAAGCTTGGCTGTGCGACCGGTGGAGAAAAACTTAGCAAGAAAGGCCTTCTTGCATTCATCCCAAGTGGTGATTGTGCCATGGGGCAAGCTCTTCTCCCATTGGTGAGCTTTGTCAGCTAGAGACATAGGAAAGAGTCTCAGCTTGATGGCATCTTCAGAGACACCATTGATCTTTGTCAAATCACAAAGCCTATCAAACTCATCAAGGTGGTCAATGGGGTCTTCACTTGGCAATCCATGGAACATCTTGTTCTGGACAAGGTTGATCATTCCCAGCTTGATCTCAAAGTTGTGGTTCTGCACTGGTGGTGGAACAATCCCTTGTCTCTGTTGGTGGCGGTTTGGAGCATCTCCTTGACCAATCGGTCGAGTTTGCCTAGCTCGACCGAGTCCATTGCCCAAAGGGTTTCCATTCCCCTCTGGTACATCCATTGTATCAGCAACAAGCACCTCAGGTTCCTCTTGTACCCTCTGTGACCTCTGAACCTCTTTCTACCCGTTGTAAGTCTAGCTCGACCAAGTCCTCAGTTAGACCGACTCGATCGAGTTCGCATACACCTGCAAAAAGAGACAAAAACCCAGCAGTACAATAGAACAGGGGTGGTATAGCTTGATCGTCCAAGTGTGTTTGAAACTCAAATGCAACAAATTGATGATATGATTTTAGGTGGATGTGATATGATATGAATGAGCGTGTTGTCTTCTCCTTCCCTTGGCTCGAAAGAAGAGGCTCTGTGAGGCTCTTGGGCAGGGAGCCTCCTTGGAGTGGTGAGAAGAGATCTACTCCTAAGGAATTGTGGGGGCCTTGGACTTCTTTTCTTGCTTGAAGAACCAGAAACCTTCTTCTCCAAACTTTTGATCTTGCTCACCATCTTGTCCATGGACTTTTGCATCTTCTCAATGGCTTTCCCTTGCCATTTGTTGAACTTTTGGAGAAGTCCAATCCTCTTGTGTGCAGCCACAACAGAGGGGTTCATCCTTGGAGCCTCATACTCCTCAAAGTAATAGCACTCAGGCTCACCCAAATCCGCACTTTCCTGGCCCTGATCTTCAGCTCGATCTCAGCTCGATCCTCAGCTCGAGACTCAGCTCGATCGAGCTCAGGCTCCTCTTCTCGCGAATCATCCTCATGCCCAACTAATGTGTACACAGGGGGTCTGAAGTCAATGTTCTCACCCCTTACTACTGTGGTGAGCTCTGGGTTAGGTAGGAGGAACTTGGAGGATCCAACCAATGGATGTGTGAACTTGAATTGGAATCTCCCATCCAACTCCTTGTGCTCAATGAGAAGGTTGGTCTTGCAAAACTTGATGTCCATCCAACCTGGTTCAGTGGCTCTCCTATCAGTTGGGTTCACTCCAGCAGCACACAAGATAGGAGTGATGAGCCCTCCAACACTTAGGCGCCTCCCTCGTTGATGTCTAGTGTTGTAGGCTGTGATCTTGTAGGTAAGGAGATGGTCAAGGAAAGGCATCAAGTTCCCTGTGTCAGATCTATCTCCCCTTATCCTCTTGCCATCGCTTGTGCGTGAGAGAAGGGGCTTGATTCCCATGTCAAGAAACTTGAGTTCCCCCTCGTTGATGGTCCCGGTGCCTTCCTTGCAAAGAAGGTGTTGGCAAGTGCCTTGTGCACATATCTCAAGACTGGGCTCCTGATTTGAGCTGCCTTGGACCTTGAGGAAGAGTACACTCCATCAGCGATTGTAGCCCAAACCCTTTGGAGTTCCTTTTCCTTGAAGTTCCACTTGGTACCTTCTCCATAGTTGAACCCAAACAAGATTTCCAAGCTGCCTAAAGGTCACCATTCTCTTCTCTCCCTTAGCCAAGAACGTGATCCATCCCAATCCTTGGTCCAAATCAGCTCTATCTTCCTCTTCATACATGTGGTACCTCATTGAAGCTAAGAACTCGCAAGTGAGCTCCTTGTAGGATTCCATGTGATAAGAGAAAAGCTTGGCCAAGTGCATGTTCTTGAGAACTAGCTCCACATCTTCAAAGATTCCAAGGGCCTTCATTGTGTCAACATGTGGGTACTTGGTATCCATGAAGTCCATGGAGAAGAGGGCATGTAGTGCTCTTGGTACATGGGGATCTCATCCTCCTCTTGCTCTTCCTCAACCTCCTCCATTGGTTCATCTTGGTTCTCTTGCTCACTTCTCAACCAATTGATTCACCTCTTCTCCTTCCTCTTCACTCTCAGTCTCATCACTTCCTTCTTCACTTGGAGAACCATTTCCCTCCTCTTGAACAAGGTTCACTCCAATCTCAAACTCCCCTTGCTCACTCTCACTACTAATGGGTCATTCCTCTTCTTGGTCCTCCTTTCTTCCCTCAATCTCTCACTCTCAGACTGTCTCCTCAGAGTATACATATCCCTCTGCATCAGACTCTTCCATCCTCTGATCATCCTCTCAAATCGGCTTGCATCTTAAGCCTTCTTTCCCTTGCATTGCTTGATTCACCCTCAACCATCCTCCTTTGTGAAGCACGACTTCCCTCACTGTTTGTCATCTCTGTTACACTGTTTCTTCACTAAAGTACCTGAAATGCATCAAAGATTACAAAGAATTAGAGTTGTAATGATCGGTTTGGTCAACTCGACACTCAGCTCGATCGAGTCAAAAAACTCGAGTGACAAACTCGATCGAGCTAGGTGAAAACAGAGTATAACCGAACCTAATTCAAGTATTAAGAGCTGGAAAGGATGCTAATCAATCAAATTGAACCAAGAACAACTAGTAAATGGAACAATGAGCAATTATAGAGAAGCACTAAGCATCTTAACCAATACCAAACTCAAATTCAATTTTCAAGCACATGCAACAAGTTTAAATGGCAAAACAGAGGTGAGGTGAGGCAAATTAACAAATTATATGCAGAGGAGAAATATGAAAGCAATTACTCAAGAACAAGTCCCACAAGGGGCACATGCAATCAAAAATCAAAGAGAAAACAAGCAATAATGGAAATCGAGATGGAGGATAAAGGGTTTTAGGGTTCATACCTTGTTGAATGAGGAATTGAAGAGCAGTAAACCAAAACCCAAGCAAAACAAGATGAAGAACAAGGAAATCGCAAAAACTTAAGAGAGAGGGATTGAAAACTCGATTTTTCTTGTGGTGAGAGAGAGAGAGATGAGTTTCAGAAATTTTAAGGTGTGGGAGAGTGGAGAAGTGGGTTCGATCGAGTTATGGGGAAGAGGGAGTGTTTGAGATGTGTGGTTGAGATTAAAAGATGAAATAAAGAGGGAACAAGAGTTAGGGATTTCTGATCAAATTAGGGTAGTGGGGGACCAAAATTCAGCTTGTGGGACCCACTCCCTTGACCAAGAAAACGGTTATGAATTTGAAATTCAAAAACTTACCTTGGTCGAGTTGTGGAACTCGATCGAGTTGCCCGGTTTCTAGCTCGATCGAGCTGTCGGTCGAGCTGGCTCCTTTGTCACCTAAACTTAACTTATTCAAAGGTTAAAACACAGAAACTAGATAGAAATTGCATAAATAGAATATGTACAAGGATAAACATGGGACTTCCTCCCAAGTGAGCTTGTTTAAGGTCCCATAGCTTGACCTTTACCTTCTAGGCATTGGTTGAGCTAGTCCCACCATCAAGGGTGATAGTGAGGACTTGAGACAGAAGCTCCTTTAGCTTGGTTGGGTCCCTGGACTGTTCTGAAGTCACCAAGGCCTTGGCTCTAGAGAATGGCCTTGATCTCCCCTTGTACCTTATCTTGTACTCAATCTTCCCATTTTCAAACTTGGTGGGGAACAAAGTCATTGTGAGCTGAGATGGCTTGAGTGAAGGGGTCTGAGCTGGTGGATCCTTTCTTTTATCACCTGGTCTTGCCTTAGAGGCTGCATCCTCCCTTCTTTTTGGAGCCCTTCCTAGTGGCTCATCAAACAAAGCTTGAAGGCTCTCTTCATCAAGCACACAAGGGGCTTGAACAAGTCTCTCAGCTCTTGGCCTATCAGATCGTGGTTTCTCAACTCTAGCCCTCTCAAGACGTGGCTTCTCAATCCTTGGTCCTCTCTCATCCTTATCCTTCCCAACTCTTGTT